GATTCTAAATAGACGTAACTTTATCGCTGACAATATCGCGTCAGCTTTTAGAACGCCTGGTAAGTAAGTAAAGTTTCTAGTAAGCATCAGTGGTCGCGGAAGCCGTGGGGACATCTGAGGGCATTAACATTGTAGGATAAAGGAGGGAGGGGTTTATATAACATGAACAGATGATTGGGACATCGAATAACCGTGGGGATATTGTCCCACTCTTCCGCGGCTACGGTTAGGCAGTTAGCAAGACCACGTACGTTTTAAAATTTCCGTAACTTTCCCTATCTCTGGAGTTGGATCAAAATTTCCGAAGTTGATCTTGAAACCACCCTTGACTTTTGAACGTTTTCATAATTGTCTCTAGAAATTTTGACCCAACTCAAGAAGAAAAGTTAGGGAAATTTTTAAGCCAACGAGCTAATTATTTATGTAACGTGCTAAAAATGTACAATTTGCCTTAATTTTTAGTCCGACCTGGAGCAGTGGCCGTGTTTAATAGCCAACTTCAACGAAGCCTCCCACCCATCAAGCATCAACGGTTGCGAAGTTACAGTCGCCGACGGGGGGAGGAGAAGAGTCGTTTGTTCGGTGGTGGTCTTGCCGCGGGGTCAAAATCTCTCAATTCCGCCCCAACCACGCAACGGCACAAGAGAAACGTGACCTTCATTTCGGAAGGGTCACGATCCCTGCAAAATAGTCAGCGTCATCCACACCAGAGAAAAACCAGGTCGAATTCTGAGCTGAAAATGGCCACCGCGTCGGCCAACCTTTATTCCCTGTTTCTTAGAGAACGAGCCCCCTACGAGAACAGTGGGGACGAGGAGAAGAGTTTGGGGGGAGGGAGGAGGGGGAATAATAATGTTGAGAAGAATGGTGGTGACGACAAGGATCTTCCCACGAGGAAATCTCTCATCAACTGGAAGTGGAGAAGGGCCCTCGACAATGACACGACCCACTAAATACATAAGCGATAAGTAGTTATATGCATGCAATAGCACAATATAATTCTAATAAATACTGAAATGCATATTTTTTAGCATAATGATAATTATTTATGCTAATTTAGTTTAGCATAATTATAATTTTATGCCAAAAGTCCAAAAAAATAAATCATTTTTTAAACAATAAAAATTATAATGAGGCAATTCACGCACTCCTTCGTAACTACGTAAACAGCGTAAAATCCGTAAACTTCCAAACGTTTACAAACTTTTACAAAAATTGCCAAGGAAAATCAGTTTACAAACTTTTGTAAACTTACGCAGCTCACAGGCGTCTTTTAATTTTGTAAAGTATTTTCTCAGGGTTGTTAAAGAGACAGTAACTTGATAAGGGGTTGCGCAACGTGGGCGATTTTTTTAAAATAATTAAAAAATTAAATTTTGAAAAAAATTAATCACTAAGCTAAATCACTAAGTAAATTTGAGGGGAAACTCAATTAAATCTCACGGTGAGATTCTCACCGTACAACTTTGCATAGCCCGATTCAGAAATTATCAGTATATGTATACATACAAATACACAAGCACAATTTAATACCGTTTTTTATGTACATACATTATAAAAACACTCTATATTATTTTAAATCGATAAAGATTTGAATTCCAACAATACTAAAACATAAGGATAATACAGGATAGGAATGATAAGATTATTTTATCGTGACGACAGACGGACAAACAGCTACCAGAATAAGCCATGAAATAAAAATTTTGTATGGAAAACCTAATAACCAATCAGGAGCTGGTGGTCCGGACCACCAGCTTTTTCAAAATTTAAATAAACTAATTCTTTAAAAAAACTTAGGTGAGGCTTGCTTAAAAGGGAGAAACAAGAGGTTCTCATCGTGTAGTAAAATAATATGCTACATCAATGTTCATCTCATGATTTATAATTTTAGGTGAATACAACAACAAATTATATGCGTTTCGGACCATTTGCCTCGCCGTGGGCCTGATTAATTGTTCCATACAAATACATATATGTATATATATAGTATGTGCGCCATATTGATGGTTGTACCTAAATATACATAAGTTGCAATCTTCGTTACTATTCGATTCTGCTTATACTGATGGCCTACATGAATATATTTCAAAGATAGGTCGAAGTTTTTAAAATTTAGTGTTCTGAAATATAATATTACAAACTAACTCAAGCTTCGTACATTACATCACCAATAGATTATGGATAACGAAATTATCTAACTAAATCCTGTATCGTTTCATATGAATTATTACTGCATATGTGTATCAAATGCACTGAGCGCTAATAAATTTTCAAGTTATTTTAATTATTTGAATCATAAAATGGCCCACGGCGAGGCAAATGGTCCGAAACGCATATAATTTGTTGTTGTATTCACCTAAAATTATAAATCATGAGATGAACATTGATGTAGCATATTATTTTATTACACGATGAGAACCTCTTGTTTCTCCCTTTTAAGCAAGCCTCACCTAAGTTTTTTTTAAAGAATTAGTTTATTTTTTTGTTTTTAAGTCTCTAAGTTTTCATCAATAATAGATACCAAATTAAATCTCATTAGCCTGGATGCGTTACATAATATGCAATTAATTCTCCAGTAGGTGTGAATGCGTGGAACACCAAATTAAATTCCCCTATCACCCGTGGACTAAAGGGCAAGAAATGCATCAACATCATACATACATGTATTTTGTATATACACACACTTAGAAATCTGGTATAATTGAAATCTCAGTGGTTCCTATTGCTTGCAATACGATGACGCCAGCGGTCTAGCTCCGATTTTGACGAAAACACGATAATTATGTATCCTTAGATAAATGATTAAACACGTGTTTCAGGATTTTTCGTAATGCTCATCCTTAGTTTAAACAAAGTTATGATGGAAAACGTGAAAGAGAATTTGCATTTTCACCGTGAAATTTTTCTCACATGGGAGAAAACGAAACATGATTACGTCAGAGCATTAGTTATGAATACCATTTTTGTAGTCATTTCTGAATACCGCTTGGTACTATTTTAATACTGGATTTCTAAAAGTGCATACATGTACATACATATTTACATGTTTAGATATTTGCATATGTAAGTGCAGAGCTTACATGTTTCTATTGTGCTGGTTGCTAATAGAAACGAGTATTTGTTATAAGTAATGAAGAAACATTACAAGCAACGTAACTGGCTGCAGATGCTACCAAGAAAACTTTTTCATTTCTTGTCCGATTTCGCTCGGGTTTGTTTTAAATGACGCGTTATAGATTTCCGCACATTAAAACATGGACGAGTCACAACCTTTGCATGGGAAAAGTGAATTTGCCAGTCGTTTGAAAGTTTAAAATCGATTTAAAATGGGTTAAAATAAGATTGTCAAGTCTCTAGACCTGACGGGCATCATCTACCCAGCAAGGTCTGCACGATTGCCTTTTACACCATTTTGATACGATTAGCCGTTTTGCCACAATCTTGAGTGGAATTTTGGGAGGGGGGGTCTGTTTGCATACTTAGGCTTCGCCGTAACCATGCATTTTTTCAAGAGGTCATGGTTACTATGCCTCACCTAAGAAAAATCGAAAAAAGTGCTCACGTTGCGCAACCCCTTATCAAATTACTGTCTCTTTAACAACCCTGGTATTTTGTAAACTCAATTTGGGGAAGAAAAAAATTGTTCGATGCAGAAATTTGGCATAGAGGTTGCTAGTGGCTGCTAATGAAAGAATATGAAGTGAAATTGGTAAAATTTTCACATCCGGGACCCGCTGGGGTGACCCATACCGATTTTCATAACTTGTCTCAAAAAGCTGAAATTCAGAACAGTGATACTTAATAGATTCTCATGAAAGAATATGAAGTCAAAGATGAACACAAAATAACCAGATGGGCAATAATAAGGAAGGGGTACCCATACCGATTTTGAAGAATTTATATATTCAGCTAAGATTTGGTGTGGAGTCGAAAAATAACTTAGGATTAGAATTTTGGAGGGTTGAATTTCGAAATTTTTATAAGAGCTTTATTACATCAATAAATACAGCTCCACAAATTTCTTCCATTAATTTCCTTTTTCTGGAAATCATCGGCATTTTGTTTCAATTATCAAATAAATTTTTACGAAAATAATTGCGAAAGTGAATTCACGGGAAGCTGTTTGTAAACGTTTGTAAGTTTACGGATTTTACCCTGTTTACGTAGTTACCAAGGGTGCGTGAATACCCTCAATGTTTTTTTGGGAGTTAATTTGATGTTGTCGACTTTTTAACATGCAGATGAGGCGGACAAGGATATCGAGCTCGATAAGGCTTATCGAGAACGTCTTGATAAGAAGATGGGTTATCCATTTTAATAATGTGGTACTGGTGCAGTGACCGTGGTGTGGCAATCCTCGCCTCTTAATTTTTCGCCATTCCTATCTTTGCATATACAATGAGGTCCATAAGGCTCGCATGGCCGGAAGGAGGCAATGTGAGACTTATGCAAATGAGGTGACTGAAAAAGTGAAAAACCATCTTCTTTCACGAAGCTCCATGTATAGGACGGTTTGGAAGGACATTTCAAGGTCACGAGGTTAAAGAGCCGATTTGGCTACCTGACATTCCTCGCGAAAACGTGCCATTTTAGATTCGCATGCTTTTGCAATCGTCCACCATGTCTTAATTTCGCCATTTCTCATCCGATTTGAATGAAATTTCGACACAATGTCCTCATCTGTGTTGCCGACATGTCGTAAACCGGTTCGCATCGCCATAACCGTATTTACGTCGCCATATCATAATTTTGCAGTTTTTCATAGGATTGGCATAAATTTTCTACACAGTAGTGTCTCTGTGTTATTTTAATAAGGGCATATCGACAACGCCACGAAGGACAACGTGTCGAGCATTTATGCAGTGCAGATTGGATGCAAAATAACAAAATTATGAAATGCGTGACTTATCAATCACTTATCAAACCCATCCAAAGTAAACAAAAATGTGAACTGTTGGTTTATGGTGATGATCGAAGCCGGCAATCAAAAATTCAAATCAAGCGATATTTATTGTTTACTCAGATTCATCGGCTTTTTGGTATTGTTGACCGGGTTCTTTCTATTCTATCCTTTTTCATATTTCATTAATTTTGATTCCAAATTTTTACATTCTTTGTTTCGTCTTCGTCAGTTTTTGACCAAACTACGGCGGAAACTCTTATCGAAGTTTTATTTCGTATACAGGGTAAAGGTAAATGTATTTAAATTGACTTTTCAGTTTCTTAAAAATTAAAAATTACTAATTACTACACTTTTATTAATTTATTAAAAATTTGTTTTTCAATTTCAGAATCCCTTGCCTCGTTGACGTCACGTAAAAGGAATTCGTTCTTATGGCTAGTAAGAAGGAGGCTTCTGCCGTCGATGCGGTCTTGGATTATCTCAAGGCGCAAAATCGACCCTACTCTGTGAACGATATTGTTCTTAACCTTCATAAAGAACATGGCAAGACTGCAGTGCAAAAGGCGCTTGATAAGCTTGTCCAGGTACTTTGCTTATCATAATAATTCGCATAATCTTGTAGTAATTCCCCACCCCCCTCATCTCTCTGTCTATGATTGAAGGATGAACAAGTTCGTGAGAAGACGTACGGTAAGCAGAAAGTGTACGTCATTTCGCAATCCATTCTTGGAGACACCTTTTCTGCGGACGAGATAAAGGCGATGGACAAGCGAATCGAGGAAAAAGAGACAGCCATCAAGGGATTGGACGCTCAAATGAAAGAGTCGCAAGCCGAACTCAGACACATCAACAGCTCAATGACGACGGAACAAATGATCATCATGATAGCAAAGGTACGTTTACTGGCTTTTGGAACATTTATAAAATCATCAGTATCAAATACAACAAACTAACCGGAAGTATATTAAACTTTAAAATTGTAATTAACGCCACAGCTGACTGAAGAGAATGCAGCATTGTCGGAAAAAAGGGACAAATTCGCTTCTGCTAATGTGGAAGTGTTGGAGAAGAGTGAGCGGGATAAGATCAGGACGAATCGAGCCAGAATTTTGGGACAATGGCGAGCCCGCAAGAAAATGGGGACAAGCATACTGGAAGCCGCATTGGAAGGTTGGCCTGGGTCTAAGGCGGACCTGATTGAAGAGGTCGGAATTGAGTTGGATGAAGCTGTGGGTGCAGTTCTTCCGTCCTCTTAGAAAATCATGGAGATAAGTTATCATCATTTTTAGTTTTTTTTATGTGTGCGGATTTTTACACAACTTTTATACTTTCTTAAGAATAGAATCGCATTGATTCATTTCCTGTTGTCTAACTCAAATTCCATGAAATAAACACATCACTTTTCATCATGTGCAAACTACTGTTAAGTCAGGTGCGTACTTATTTATCATGCAATAATACTACGTGTCGTCGTTACCTAACATAATGTACCTTGCGCGAATCATAATAATACAGTATTTACAATCCTAAATACCAGTCCCATTAAGTTAATTTGTTTATAAACAATTCCATCATAAAATGTGCAAACTTCCGCATGCATTCTGCAGACAATGGTATTGTAATTATAATCTACTAAACCTAGAATTAGACCCTGCCAACCTTTCCAGTTTTTAAGCAGTTGCTTCCAGATTACAAATAACACCCAGAAATAACTTCTGAGCAGCATAACGGAATGATGAAGGCGACCCTCGTCTTATGTGTGGTCTCCGTTCTCTGGTTGGGTGTGGTTGCTCGTCCCAAGGCGAAGGCGGGCGACACAACTGACGACATGTACGGTGAGTAGGGTAACGTATTTGTTTAATAGCCGAGAAAGAAAATGATTACCTTTAATTAAAAATTGTGCATCTTAAAAAATAATTGAATGACTTTGCAGACGATGACGGTGACGAAATGAAATCGAACTACGCCGGTCCGAGTAAATCTATCGCCCCTGGTGCATCATTCGCTGGGGGAATGTCCCCTCAAGTTGGATTTTCTCCTGCAGACGCATATCCAGCAGACATGGCGTCTGCTGCATCCTCTTCCAAATCTGTGTCGGCGGCAGCATCCACCACCACGAATGAACCAGCTCCTGCAGCCTCACTCGCGTCCGAAGTGGCCCAAGCTTTCTCCGCTGGGGACGATGACGACAACATGGTCAAAGAGAAACGTGCCGCACTTTCTTTTGCCTCGGGTGACTCTGCTATAGCTCCGGCTGCATCGCTTTCTGTAATGCATGACTCGAAACTCCAACAAGTAAGTGATAATAATCCGTTTATTAAAGTCAACATCATCCAGACAATATTGATTAACTTGCATAATTAACTAAATAGGTTGCAGCAGACAGTGCACTAGATAACACAGCTTCTGCTTCATCCTCCAGCTCCTTCAGTGCTGATGCTGCCTCGGCTACCTCCTCATTTACGGATGAAGCTACATCTGACCTAGACCTCAAAGTTTCGGAATCATCGAAACGTTCCGCCATTCTTGATGACAACGTGATCCCTGCTGAGCTCATGGATAACAAACTTGAACCTAAACGTGACCTGGCTCCTACGGCAGTTGCCACCTCGGACACATCGGGATTAGGATCATCTCCCTCCGTGATATCTGCACCGGCGGCGTCTTCAGCTTCCGCGCCTGCAACTGCAGACAATATAATAAACGAGAAACGTGACGCTCGCGACTCTCATGACGCCGCGGTGATCCCTCAAGGTACAGTGGATTCGAGCATCAAGAAACGCATCATTTTTGGAACCTCCCTCACCGCGAATAGAATGCGACGAAAGTTTCCTCTCGTATTTTGTGAGGTATTCATAATAAATATGTAAATATATCAAATTAATACATAAATTAAGATTGCTTGTTTACTAGCTGGAACGAGATAACGGGATCGTGTGCCCAGGCGTGAGACGAGGAAATTTCATGGATCAGTTTCACTACGACCCGGTCGCGAATCGCTGTCAACATTTCGCTTATAATGGGTGCGGTGGAAATGCGAATCGTTTCTCGAGTTTGTGGGAATGCAACATGTCCTGCACCAAGAAGAACACGGGTGTTATCAACTTTTAGGCATCAACATGTTTGTTATTTTACTAAAATCGTGGTATGTTTTATTTTAATAACAACAACATACATAGTCTTATACAACAAGTCTTTGTTTCTTTCTTCTTATTGTTTTTTTCTACTGAAATGGAATGGTTCTAAAGTCTAGGTTGGATTCTAACATCCTATTCTAAAGGCTTCACACCTACATAATCATTACTACTCCGCACTTACAATAGCACCCAATTCACCGTTAACGGTATCATAAAAAACTAAGAGCTCGACTAAATCTAAATTAGACATGCACCCAGTACTCGGCGCTGCCGAGTACTCGGCAGGTTTTAGCCGTGTTCTAACTACTCGGACTCGGCCGAGTATTTTTGCGTGCTCGGCCGAGCATTTCTTAAATTTTTATATACATCCAGTACTACTTTACGCGGTACTTACACCACGCAGTTCAAATTATCCATCAGGTGATTTTTGCAATCAAAATCAAACTTACTTGAAAAATACACCCATGAAATTTGTTAATTCTATCCGGTAATCAACTTTAATCGAAATGTTGGAACAGGAAGAAGAATCAGTAACTTCACGTGATTCCTTCCACCAGCTCTCAAAATAAAGGTACTGGCAATTAAATATTATGTAAACAATGATTTTTTTGATTATCTTTTTGACAATTTACTCGGTGGCCGAGCCTTGCTCGGTACTCGATTGCCGAGCTTTGCTCGGTGCTCGGCAAACGAGCAGAAACGAGTACTCGGCAAAAATATAGCCGAGTACTCGGTGCTCGGCCGAGTCGACTTTTTCGGTACTCGGTGCATGTCTAATCTAAATCTTATGATATGTCATCTCTCTTATTAAGGATAAGTTTGACATTATGGAGATTTTTAAATTAAAATATCAACACATTAATTGCTAATATAATATTAATAGCAACTGATCCCATCGACTAATAAAGAATGCGATCTAAAATTATCAAAGAAATCATACTTAGTTTAAAGTACATTGCGACGACTCACAAAGAATGACAACCACCACTAGTAAAAATATTTATGAGATAATAATAATACACAAAGATCTGCATATTATGCTATTTAAGAGAACCACCCACCCCCACCCAACATACCGTCTAAAATTGACTATCACAGTTTCTCGCCCCATCTACCTCATTGCGAAAAGAGAATCAGAATTTAAGTAGCAGGCACTCAAAATATTATATGTACATTCATGTACTACATACATATTCACATAGAAAAATAACAATATATTTCGAAACGACCATAATGATGGTTGTAACATAGTATTTTTATGCACACCAAGTAGCGAGTAAATTATTTGGTAGTAAAATTAATTGTCCAAGTTAATGTGCTTGTCACTTTGGGATTTATATAAGGATAATAGACCGATCAAAATGATGATAAACTACTTGTCCACTAAATTGTCCGACTCTTGTCCTAATATTCCTCCAAGATCGTGATGATGATTGTCAGAGTCGTCCATCTTATCCTTCGAGTCACCATTTTGCAGCTTATTTTTTTCGTTCCGTTTTCGAATGTAGTCCTCCCTTTGCGCGATGAGGGCCAGGAGACACCCCACGGCGCCAAAATAACCTTCATGTTCGAGGAAAAGTGCCTTCAGTTGACCTTTGGACCAGTACTCCATCGCGTACGAGAGTAATTTCATGGAAATTGTGTTGACACGGAGAAAGTTCCCGATGAATACTACTCGATTGATTCCTTCGTTAAGACAACACATTCTAGCAATAGAGCCAATATTATTGGTAATCGTGACGAGGGTGGCCCGAGCGAGATCTTCGCGAGTTACAGTGGAACGTTTCTCCTTGGACATCATTTGTCCAAAACTGGAAGAAGCAAATATATTGATTATATTTGACGATTACATAGTTATTCGCATAATAGTTAGATTCTCACCTCGACGCCACAATGTTACCATCCAAGTCGAATTTTTCGTATCCTCCGCCGTAAATGTCTTTCACTAATTTGTCCACTTTGGTACTATCTCCGAGCGTGGCGAGTTCAATTGCTTCTTCAAAACTGGAACAACCCGTTAAGAGACAGCACAAACCAAGAAATGTTCCTCCTCCCAAACTAAAAAAATCACAAAAAAAAACAAGTTGAAGTTGGTGTAAAAAATTTTCGCTATAATATTTATGTTAGTAAAGTCATCCCGAAATCCAACCCAGTCAAAGATTTAAGATATTTTAAAAGCAAAAAATAGTAAAGGAACACCAACTCGCAAATGTAATCACACCTCGTTCCTGTGACACGCCGATACGTCGAAGGTCCAGTTACAGCCAACATGCTCACACCTAAAAGAGAAAAGATACAGAATGTTAATTACATAAGTATAACTTTTATAGAATAAATAAAAAATAGTATTACCAGAGCCAATATTCACCACCTATACATTCCGTTATGAAATAATTTAATTAGCAACAGAAATTAAAGACGGCCTTGATGAATTTGATGATGATAATGATGGCTCACCAAAAAAGGGTAAGGATTGCTAAAATCGAACGGAATTTTGCGGCAATCATCGCTTTTCGGGTTGCTAAAATAGTAACATTCGCTCTGAGGATTGTTCCCTTCGACAAATTCCATTCCCCGGATGAGTGAGTCCAGCTCGTCAAATTTGTGCAGTCGCATATTTAGTTCCTGTGACCAAGAGTAAAAGTTAGGAAAATTGCAACTCTTTTTATAATCATTTATCTATCTAGCATATTATTTATCTGTGTATGTACAAGAAAGAACTGGTTTTCAAACTTGAAGGCACCTCCCCCTGTTGCACACACGGTGGAAGCAAGGCTCGCCATCCCTTTGGATTTTGCCAGTTCTAAAAAGTTGTCCATTTCTGATGTTGGGAAACGAATGTAGTGCAAGCTTCCTCGCCTCCCACCGATTGTGACATTTTCCATCTATAAAAGTATCACAATTATGCAAATTAAATACTCACAATTTTCCCTAATAAATACATATACATACCTGAAGATGATCATCCCGATGTCCCGTTTCCCCGTAGACTTTATTATTTGTCAAATATTTTCTGATATTTTTCAGCGTTTCCACCTCAGACTCGTCTTCTTCTGGAGTATTATCTAAAGGCTCAAAGTACACAAGTTTGGCTAAGGTTCCACCAATGTCCATCCCAAACCAGGGCATGGCTAGAAAATGTATAGAAATAACTACATGAATTGCTTTGAAAAACGTAACAATCTCAACCTTAACAATTAGCTCCACTTACGAGGAAGTTCACCTCCATTGCTCATAATGGATTCTTTGCGGGACAGGCGACGCGACATGTTGGGAAGGGATGTTGCATCCGTCGTATCGAACGGGTTGCTATCCGGGGGGCTCGACATGTTCAGTCCTCGTGGTCTGAGTGATTAGTAATGACGATAAAAATACTGAGCTGCCAAAAAAGGCCGGTTGCGCATCTAATTTCTGTCCTTTTCCTCTTGGAACTGAATCTCCTCGCGTGTTGCAGTCCCAAAGAGTAGTAAATTTTATAATGGTAAAAAAAAATCTAGCTGAGGATAGCACTATATTCGATGATGGCGAGTCAATTATTCTTCTTATGGCTAACTGATCCCATCCACACTACGTGCTACTACTTGCTCGTGGTAGGCGCAGTATTTTATTGATATTTCCACCGGTGTGGTTGGTAGTATTATAAAAGTATTTCAGTTTAATAGTTCAGCTCACTCACTCGATTGCAAAATCTTTCCCATGCACGTCACATGAAACTGTAATAGCGAATAACACCCCCTCCGTGTGGGCTCTTCTTCTCTTTGTTACTTTTGATTGACCGGTAAGTTAAACCTTCACACTGAGAATGATGAAGAAGGTAGGAGAAGAGCCAGGGATTTCCTAAATTGCAAACAGAATCACACCATAATTAAACTGGATTACATACACGTGAGTAATTAACGTAACTAACATGTCCGTTATTTTTTATCTATTTGTTTAGTTCACTCCAACAGAAAGGATTGACCGGTGGTGAAGATATAGCACAGCGTCTTGTTTCCATCATCCAGTAGTGCATCATTTCTATCTATTTGATCATCATCTCTGCTCCTGATGCTGTGATGATCTTCGTCGTCCTGTCAGCTCCACCTCCGTTCGTTAACCATCAGTGATGATGAATCGAGTCGAATATTGGACGATGGAGATCATGCGATGCGGTAATGTGCGTAATCCTCCCGTTCTTTTATATGTTGTCAACTGGACCAGGATGAACCAAGACCACGGGACGATGTTGTGTTGTGGGTAAATTAGCAACAAACAACACGAGTGGCGAAGACGAGTGAGAGACGAATGGCTTATCACCAATTGGAGTAGGAGGATAAATAATTATTTAGTCTGTTTTACTACTTCAGCCAGGCAGCCAGTCCAGTCCACAAAGTCCAGTCCAATATCTTCTTACTTATAGATACTATTTATTTACTGTCCAACCTGAAATGGAGAAACACTACATAAATAAATAAAGCGAACATTATGCTAATTTACCAGTTTAACGAAACTCTATTACCAAAACTATTAATAATTCCAGTCCAGTCCAGTCAGGTTTCAGAGGGCAGAATGATATGGCTCCTATTCGAACGAAATTAATTGCACACCGAGTAAACCACCCACCCACGCACGACCACCACACACTTTACTATTAATGGAAGCAGATTGGACAATAATTAAGTAAATAGAGACAAATAATTAGTTTTTCGACCGGAGATGAGTAATTCACAAACAACAAGAGCCACATGGATGGAGCAAACGGGAGTTGTGTTGATTCTGGTATGAAGCTCAAAGTCCGCGTCCCGATCTGCCCCGCATCCTCAACAACAAAACAACAAAAAAACGACATCGTTCTTTCTTTCTGACGACATCAACGTGACAAGATCGTCACGCCACGTTTTATTATGCAAGTAGTACTGGAATAGTACTACAATAGTACTATTTGCACCACAAACATGAGGTGCAAATTGAGTCCTGTAAATTGCAGTACATATGCAAATTATGGTAAATACTATCAGGGAAAAATTGCCAATGTGAGACATATCTGCTATATAACATAAATATGAACATGTACTTACTCGAGGTGGAAATTCAGTGCTATAAATTGCAGTAAGCAAGTATAGTAAATAGTATCAGGAAAACATTTGTAAGAATTTCCAATCTGCGACATACTTACAACATAAATAGAACACATTTTTGTCTTTTTTTTCAACGCAATTGCACAATACGAGTAGAATGTGAGGAATATTACGGTGATCTCTGATCCATCCATCCATCCATTTCCATTAGCCATATTATTAGAGTGATGTTAGGTTTCTATTATGTCCTTGAACCAGATTCTCATCTCTCCTCTGTCTCCTTTTTATCGGAAAATCTTTTAAAAAATCAACCTTCTTAAAAATGGGAATTTCCTCGGCTTATTATCTACTTACTCCATAAGTGAGATGACATAACTATGCTTTTTCTATCGAAAATAGGGACCCTTCTTTTGTCATACCGAGTAAGAAGACTGGAGCCTTTAACAATAAAAATGCGATCGGATCAGCAGACGTTTAAAATCTTTCTTTAAAATGCACCTTCATTTTTTCTCTAAAAAACTTTAGGCAACGAGAAATGTTATCCAGTCGGAAGGGAAACTTGGTTTCGAGAAGGTTTCCACGTCTCTAAATTTTCAATCGTCGAAGTTTCACATACTTTTTACGACGCCATGAAGGGAATTCTTGTCCTGCTGGGGGTCTTGGTGTATCAGGGGACTGCCTGCTCCTCCCACTGGGGATACACAGACTACGGTGGTCACGGCGTCCACTCTCACTCGTCTTATCGTGCCTCTGCTGTGTGTGTCTCAATTTGCCTCACTCCGTAAAACATGTATATAAAATCACCACTATTCTTTATTGTAGACCCATCATCACGCTAGTGGTCCAGGTCACATTCACGGAGGAGGTGGTGCCTTACAGCACGGTCATATTCATCAGCCTGGCGGAATGCGACATGTAAGCGCGTCTTATTTACACACTTTAATGTAGACTCGGTGACGCCACATTTTTAATCATTGCTCGCCTCTGGGAATTTATTTAAAAATTTTGGGCGACAAATTTGTAAAGCAAGTCGTTGTCAATTACACAAAAGTGCACACTCCAGATTTGGACACTTTTTGAAGGCGATCTCAAGTTTCAGAAACTTTCAGAAAAATTGGGACTCACCGAAACTGGCTTAAAAAATTCTGTTAATCATCTTACTGACTTCAAATTCGTCGTCCAGAATGTTAAAAATTTCCCAGAGTTGAATAATTAAAAAAATGTGTTGATGCTGACGATTTTGGTCATGAGTCCTATTTCAATTCAGGGAATGATGGAATCCGCCCTCGCTAACCTTGAACGAGGTCGAGCTTCCCACGGGCATGGTCACGGGCATGGTCACCACGGGGGAGGAGGGGGCCATCGTCACTCGTCTCACCATCACCACACCTCCCACCACCACCACGTGAGACCTATAAATTCACACACACTTTTTTGATAACGACCCAAAACCATCATTTAATTTTTTAAAACTCCAATTAACGACCCCTTTAAAGAAATAAACTGCATGAATGCGCCACCATTAGAGACCGTCCGGACACCACCACCATCATCTCAACTTCATTTCTACGCCCAGTTGGGGAGGTGGGGGCTACGTCGGCGGCGGCGGTCCCTACGACTGGTGGAGCCTTTCCTTCAGTATTCTCTTCCTCTTTCTCTTCATCGCCATTCTTTACTACCTGGACGATTATGACCACTACCACATCGACGACTACGACTATGAGGACGACTACTACAAGAAGATCAGGGCCGACAAGCTCGCAAATAGTACCATTAAAAAGCCCTGAATGTTTTTGTTTTTCTGAAATCATGTATCTAATTTTTTACTACATAACTTTTTTCACGAAAATTTCCATTAAATTGTCACTAAATACCAATTTGTCACCTAAATTTCTATTAAACAAATTTTTTTTCGTATTTGACATAATTTCAATAAAATACCAATATATACAATTGAATTTTTGGATCACCTCATTTGCATAAATCTCACTATCCCCATTTTCGGCGATACGGGCTTTTCATATTGAATAATCTATTGCGAATATGCGTCAAAATATGCAAATGAGATAACAATTAGCCGGAAAAGTTCCACTGTAAGTAAATATATAAATTTATTATATTACTAGGATTATGAATTACAGTTACTTAATTATTTCTCATTATAAAATTGCTGATCGTCCAGATTTTCTTGCGCCTTGGCCTTTTCAATCCAGTCTGTCACGTGTGCCAGGTACTCCTGAGTGTCCTCTGGACCCTCGACTCCTCCCAGTTTGGTCAGCACTGCGGACACGTCGACGTCATGTGCGAATGGATTTATTTTCTTTAAAGTTTCGAGACGGTGTGAGGACTCGTGCGAAACTCCGTTCAGTTCTGGTTGGTCAAAGGATTTTAGGACGGGAGATGATGATGTGGATGAAATGGCGAGAACAATGAGAATCGCGAACAATGATGTAGAGAAAGCCATCCTAGATTATCTTTGTACTGCGACAAATATATATAAAAAATTTGATTATTTTTCGAAAATTTCCACAGATTTATAAATGAAATATAGGGTCTTTTTTCGTGCTCTAGCGATTTTGATGTAACATTGCTTAAAATTTGCGTAATTTCTGGTAGATAAATAGTCCGTAATAAAATTAGGGGCTTATTTAATCAGTTTTTGCACTATATGTAAAAATTTGGGATTTTTTTTTTAATTTTAAGAATTCAAATTTTTGACTAACAATCGTTCAAAGGTCAAATATCACTGGAAATAATTCCTAAAATATTATCGATTATATGCAAATTACCTGATTAATATGTTTCAGAAATTTTTTAATTTTTCAGTTTTTTTAATCCTCCGATTTTATGTTATTTTCTATCAGGTCAGGCGCCAATAGTGTTGCAGATCGATTTGGAGCCTCTTCTTTATATACGTCTCACTTGACTAATCGTAAAAAGGCCAGACCACTCCTGAACCGGTTTCATATATCGTTTTCGTTATAAAACCAACCCGATTTTTTCTCAGCACCTTGAACCTCCTTGCCAATGTAAGGAGGATAAATTGACTTAGGCGCAAATTCTGATAGTAATTAATTAATCTTAATTAACAATGATGCCAATTACGACGATTCATCCTTCGACCGTATGACTACTGCATGATCGATATTATAAAACCAATTAGTACAACTTTGCTTAGCCCGAACCAGGATTGATTAAATGTTCTGCAACTCGGTCGTTGCATTGCCCAGATACATTTTTTAGGCTAAAATTGGTCTACTCGTTCGAAGGTTATCGAACGACGGACGGATGGACGGACATAACGATTACATGCATAAGTCCTGGTTCTGGCTAAAACGAAACGACTTTTACGATCATTTTGTACACACCTCTTGTCTATATTTATTTCACATTGTCCCAGGTACTGGTCATTCTTGAATGCTTAGGTATGTGCATAACTATCTACGTCAAGAACAGTCTGCAAGATTTTTTTCACTAAAAATGCGCCATCGAGCAGCATAAAAATACAATCAGTTATCTACATATATACCATTAATATTTACATATTTATCCTATAGACGACAATGACTACGACAAGGTGACAAACTGGTTATTTATTTTTTCCTGAAGGAAAAATAGGAAAATTGAGGTACTTAGAATATTTGCTCTTACATACATATTTACCACAATTTATCTCAATCTTAAACCCATCAATGTTTAATTTAATCTCAAAAACACCATTTAACTCTTTGCTTACAAATTGTAAAAATTGCAATTAAAAGCCAGACCATCCACCAAACCATCAAATCACACGGATGAGATGACGGAGAAGAAGAAATAATAGGATTAACCAGAGCGGAAAGGCAACAATAATGTAATGCAAATCTTTGCAATATCTGTAAACACATTTTTACAAAGGAAGAAAAAAAAGAAACACAAAACTGTACAAAAGATGCGTTTTACGTTATAATTATTTACGCATTCATCAAAAAAAACATTGCAAATACTTAAAACATTGCATTATTTCCCTCTTTAATTTCCCTCTAGTTTCCGACCGATATCAATGATAAATATATATTGTAAAATTTTCGAACGATTATTATATACACGATTATGTTTTAGAATTGACTCAAAACTTTGCAAGCAACAGCATGGCTGTAGAAAAAAACATTCTTGTCAAACTGCTCTTTCTGAATTTACTAACTATATATATTCAGCACTTGATGTTAAGAATGGTAAATGTATTGCGATTTATTATGATGCCCGTTCTGCTTTCGATAGCCTAGATAGGTCATTGTTGATTAAGAAATTAATGTCTCAGTTTAAACTAAACCCTACATATATTAGTACTCTGTATAACTACATGAATAATAGATGCTTTAAGTTTAAGGATGATGATCAATATTTTAATAATCCAACGGGTGTAGTTCAAGGGGCAGCGGGTAGTGGTTTGTATTACTCAGCCTATCAAGACGACATAAATAAGATCATCACCATCCCGTTCTTACTCTATGTTGATGATCTGGTAATCTACATCGCCGGTCAAGATTTAGATGTTATGATGAAAATCATTATTGACCAGGCAAACGCGGTGCAAAAGTGGTACGATGACAACAACCTATCAATTAATTATACCAAAACTAAGTTCCAAATATTTTGTAAACCTAACTGTGTAATCCCTCCTGAGTTTACCTCCCCAATTCTGTTAAACAACGGCCAATCGATAGAATATGTACATACGTTCAAATACCTCGGTGTAATGTTAGACTCTAACCTTAACTTTCGTGATCATTTTAATGCTGTTACTAAGAAAGTTTCTCAGAGTTTAGGTTATCTACACGGTTTAAAGCGGCACCTGACCGACAAAGTCATGGCCATTATGATTAACAGTCATATTCACTCAATTATGGACTTTTGTATTGATATCTGGGCCATTCAAACTGATGCTCAACTCGATTCAATACAACATAAAGTCAATTCCTTCCTTGTCAAATTCATGTTTCCCTCCCTTGCAAAAAAATTTCGACATAAGAAACATTCACGCTTTAAAATTAATAAGCAAGCGATAAAGGTAAATGATTTGTTAAGTAAGTGTAACCTCTTGACAATACGTGAGCGTCGCGATTTATTTCTGTATAAGTACGCTTTTAAACACCTCCAAGACCAAATAAGTTCCTCCGCAATGAGACGTTCTTGGCCACTCTTAACTGTAACATCATGTAACTTTGCTCAAAAATCCATAAATTATCGCGCGACCAAGTTATGGAACAAACTCCCACGCGATTGGGACCCAAACTTGAGTTACAACAAATATGTACAAGCCGTCCGTGAACACATCATTAATGCACGTGACGACCAATATTGTTATTGAGTCCATTAGATATTTTTTAGGTTAAATATATAGTTTTATCTACTTGTGTCATAGTTTTTAAACCAGTTTTGTAAACTGATAACTATTAACACGTGAATAAAGGTTTAAATCAAATCAAATCTTTGATTTCATCCGTGATTTCATGTCATGTCATGTCACGCGTATGTACAAGAAGAAATATTCAAATACGTACGTAAGAAACTGCAATTCGCAATATCCAAACATTTTTTTATGCCTATGACTATTGATTCATTGGAGAATATGTAACATAAATTCCTCACCGAGTGCATAAATAATGGAATTATACACACCGTAATTTGCTGACATTTAATGTAGGCTAATTACTATAAAATTCAATTAGTATATACTTATGCATGCATGTACAGCTAAATTATTTGCCATACATAATTAACCAACTAACCTTACACAGTTTAATAATAGTAATGCTGCTGAAATATCCAAGTATGAAAAACAATGGTATTTTTGCGAGAGAGAGAGGCAGGCAGGTCGTCGTCGATATTATTGCTTTCCTTTCAGAATAATGCACTATTCAATTCATTGAGTTGACGAATTATATATTGAGCTCACTCTCTTTCATTGTTCTCCAATTTCCATTTTACTTTTCGTTCAAAGGACACCCCCACACGAACGAATGCATAATAAATCATACACACATTCCGTTAATTATTCGTCATTAAACGACGCCGATTTGTTATTTTTTAGTCTTATTTGGTCGATGACTGATTGAGTGGGTACTTTTTGCAAATTGAGTGAGAGGTTCGTCTTCTTCACCCACCCCTAATTTTTCAGGTAAGGTGAATTCCTTTGTCAAGATTTTTTTTACTAAAAAAGAGAAAGAATTCTAAGTTTAAGTTATCTGCCATACATTTTGGGTCTATCGAACTTAATTGATTTTCTGAATCGTCGTCGCATCACACCAAGTTCGTCGATGTTGTTTGTCTTCTGTATTGTTTTTGTGGACAAGGTTTAATCCAATTTCATTTGCATTGTGCTATCAATTCTCTTTAATTCCTCTCTAATTCCTCGTAAGTAAAGATGTGGAACCAACGTGGAATGTGAAGCTCCATCCATCCATCCACATCTTTCCTGCATAGATGAATAAAGTGCAGCTTTTTTGACATTTATTTATGTAAAACAAAACAAAAAAGTCAACTCGGCGACTCTGTGACAAATGAGAGAAATTTTTCTTTTTCTTCGAAATACTTCTTCTTCTTTTCCGCCCGTTTTTGTTTCCGTATGCATAAAAATGATCGTAGTCATTGTGGGCTTCTTTCTTTTAATAGTAAAAATGGCATAATTTTTTACCCCCATATTTAATACATGAGTGACAAAATGTGGGACAATTTTACCATGATTTTATCATTACCATCTGTTTTAATCATAAAAACGGAATAATTTATAAAATATTTGTCTCATTATTATCGAATTGGCCAACTAAAACTAAGAGTACGAGGACAGGCAAGTTTCTTGAGTCAAAGTGAAGATGAAATGAAATTACTTTTTGTTTAGTTGTGGTTGCCTATTTGTTGCAAATAAATTAGTCGTCACAATTACAATTAGGTTAAAAACTAACCACAAATTGTGGCAGCTAGCTCGAGATATCTCAATCTCAATACATATACTTTTGAGGAAGGTGCATCGTAAAATTCATCATGACGTACGTGCGTGCGTGTGCAAACTGTAATAAGAACAAGCTTAATATTATTGTGACAGGGAGATTAACGTATTTTGCATAAGGAAATAAGGCATCAAATTCTTTAGAAACTCTGATAAATTGACACATTTTCATCCATCCCCACTTAACAAAAATCTTTTTCAAGTGGTGATGGTGTAGAAATTTGAGGATCATTTTGTGGTCTGGTCTGTTCTTCAGCATATTACGAAAGGAGCAGAAGTCACACAGTGTCATAAACAAAAGACATGCATTTTTTATTCACTCACAATGGAGGTCTCTCAGCATATGCTCTCAGATTTTGACCAAATCAGTGTCAATCGATCACAAATTTAATTAATATGAAATTTTCGAAAGACACGATCTCCAAATGGGCACGTTTGACAGATATATTTGCATTTGAAGAAGAAAAAATGCCCAGCAAATTTGGAAAATGTAAAATTTGTCAACGTTAAGACCCATTTTCTCCTTTTCGGATGCAAATATCTCCGCCAAACGTGGCCATTGGGAGATCATGCCTTTTGCAAATTTCCTATTAATTAAATTTGTGATCGATCGACACTAGTTTTACCAAAATCGGAGAGCATACGCTTGAAGACCTCCATTGTTCGTTAGATTTGCTAAATTATTAAAGTAGAGCATTGACGAGTTAAGCTTTGCTGTTTGGAGTAATAAATAAATCAGGGATGCTATTCGCCACGATATTCATAACAGAATTGGACACAAGCTCCAGAGTCCATTCGGGTTCTGGCTGGTGCTGGTCGTTCCAAGAAGATAAACATGAAATGAAATCTGATTCAACTTGTTAGCACCCACTTAACGATGGACGACGTACAAACACAAGCAAGTCGACGACGACAGAGAGCATAACAACATTTCGACACATACAATCCACACTTCATTTTCTAACCTAAACAACTCGACGAACCCATGATTTAGGAAATAGATAATAATCGAAATCCGCATAATTTTTCCATCTGTCCATTAAACCGACCTGGAATTAATCGGCATGTCTGTGTAGGTACACATAAAAAGAATAATTGCTCATAATTTCACCAAATAAATGACTAAATGTTAATATGACCATTTGACAATTCATGGTCTCATCTCATAATTATCTATATATCATTAATTATCTTTATTAGTTGGTTAATATATTTATGCATTATCCTTCAAAAACATCCATTTGTACAGCAATAAATAGTCAGTATTTGGAACACGAAGGGAGTGATTATGCAGATTGGGATATGTACGAAGCAGCGGTTCATCGTTTCGTTGTCGCTTATTTTTTTTTATTAGTCGCAGATTGCGTGATGGATACAATTAGCCATAAAATTATTCGGTTACATGAGAAGAATCGGAATCTTATAACTATTTGCGAAAGAAGGAGGATCAAATTCACACCGTAAAATAAATAAGACCGACCGACTAACATATCCGTAAAAAACGAACCAATATTTAAATACGATGACAATCAAATATTTGTCATATTCGTCATTCCATGAGAGGAAGTTGTTGTTGGGTGTCAGTCAGTCAGTCATCCACGTCATATCAGTTTAAGGTTAAAGAGCTCAAAAATCAGAGTTGATCATATTCCGAAAATTAAATTCACACAGGGACAAAAAAAAGTGCACACAAATTGGTCGTGGGCGCATCGTAACTCGACTGTAAAAAGAAGCATAGGGAACTAATTTCCTTGTTTTTTTTGCAGCAACAGTAACAAGAAGAACTGAAGAGCAACAACAGCAGTACAATTTAGGGCTGCCGACATCACACCAATTTATTAGACTTACTTACGTACCACCGCATCATTTTGTTATATATTTACGAGAAACAGTGTATTTAAAACCAAGGCTTGAGACGCACCAATTTATATTTTACGTACGTACCACCGCATCATTTTGTTACATTTAAAACCCAAAAGTTGAGACGCTTCTGCTGAGAATGAGAGCAGAATCCTCAGAGCGAGCTTCCCATGCAGAAGGACTCGTCTCATCTCAAATCTTCGCCTTTAACGCAGTCTCATCTTCCCAAAATTCTTGAATTGCCTTCACTTTCTCTCCTCTTATTCATTCATTTCATTCCCTTCTTTATACCATTTTCTGCACGTAGATACTTACTTCATGGCAGGATCAGTCCCATTTTCGCATTCAGCATCACCCACCATGCAATAATAATTCTTAATTCCTTCAACAATTAAAAGAAGAAGGATAAATAAGAAAACACTCTCGTTTCATGGTTTCTGTAAAGAAGTCTACGTAAGTTATAAAATCATAAAATAATAATAATAATTAAATGATTGCTTGAAATTTGCGAGTGGAGTTGGCGTGCAAGGAAGTCATTTTTTGAAGTCATTTCATTTTTTGAATGAAGAATTAAGTAAATGTGAGTGAGATTTAAGCCGAAATAGTTCAATATTTAAATACACTACTTTATGAAAATTTGGGATGAACAGAGTTATAAAATCATAAAATAATAATAATTAAATATTATTTGAAATTTGACCCAAAACAGGTCAAAATTTAAATACATTTATTTATGAAAATTGGACATGAACAAAGTTATAAAATCATAAAATAATAATAATCAAATATTATGTGAAATTTAACCCAAAATAGTTCAATATTTATTTAAACCAAGAAGCAGCAGCGGTATGAAAAATTGGCCATGAAAATGCTCCTGTCTGTCCAATTTCTTCCGCAGGAGTGAGTATTTTGTGATGTGATGAATCGTGAACGTGTCATCCGCAAAACATCGTCCAAAATTTACTGGCAACTTTTCCTTCTGAATTATTTATTAAGCAAAGAGTTATCCATTCGGCTGGATTTTTGCTAAATTCCAAACTGCGCAAGAAAGAAGAAGAAGGAAGAAGATAAACTACTATTTGTTCACGAAATGACTCTGAAGTGGTTGCAGTACTGAAGGTTTTTTTTTGTGTACTTCTGATGCGGGTGTGAATGTGAAGAGAATGCAGTCGAAAATGGAATGAAAAGCTTCCTTCTTCAAAAGACGAGACCACCAGGATCGATTTCTATCCAGCCAGCCAACCAGCCCTCCTCCGAACTAAACCCGGGTAGGAGAGGAACGTTCCGACCTTGAAAACTTCTTGTGAGTGGTCTGATGATGATGACGACAAGTTGCATTCAACTTTAAGCATTCCAGGACAACCAACCACTACATATTGCACAACGACCAAAACCACTTTATTTTATACCCTCCACTTCTTTACTTACGCTACTTGAAAGACTGGCAAACAAACTAGTTAACTGGGACTGTGATCATGTTACAAAGTGTCAAAAGAAGCTGGTGCAAATTCATGCAGTATTTTAACACAGGCTTTTTCCGAGTAAATCAAGTGTTTAGTACAGTTTTGTGAAATCAAAAAGTCAGCAATAATCGGACCGGAAGTCGTGATGGGGTCTGTATCTCGCAGTAAAAGTTTTAACTCGTCGCAGTCCATCCTGCTCACCCGGCCTGTCCGCTACCCGCCCCCACCCGCCTCCCTCTCGAGGAGTTGCTCCAGGTCAGTCGCCGTACTTTTTTTTATGTAGCTCCTTAAGAAATAAATGTATGTACATGTTAGTTCCATTGTCTCTTAAAACACGCAAGGTTTGATTTGATCAGACCAAACCCATGATTTAATGGCATGTCGTGTCATCATCACACCACGAACACCAAGTAACCAATGACCAATTCATAACATGAAAGGTCGCCCATCATAATCTACTCGAGAGAATTAACAATCAGGCCTGACAATCTAATCTAATGACAAGTTCAACTAGTCCTCACACCTTATCTTATCAACTCCCACTACAAATTCTACTATGCATTCCATTTACATGATTTTATTGATTCGCTACTACTACTTATTAAATTGCAATTAGGCGCAAGCAAAAAAAAGATGTGCATGCATCTTAACCTTTCCTGTATATCTACCTACGCCCAAATTGGCGTCTTATTCGACAAGCAAAACAATGCCTCCGAGTGGGTGAAACACAATGGCCTTCGCACAAAACTGTGGCGTAATTTGGCGAATGATTACAACTTGTAATTTACAAGTTATGAAAGGTGTTACCACACGACGTAGATTCGTACATATTTAAAATATTACGGGAATAACGAGATTAATTATTACGCGATACAGTTATGTAAAACGCACATGCTAATAATATTATTGTGGAATTCGCGAAAGAATGTCGGGATCATGATGGTATTATTTTTGTAATCAAAAAGCGACTCCTGGCTCCGCACCGTCGGTGGAATGCCGTGTTTATTAGAGAGATGATCAATGTGTCATGATATAATACCTGGCATGATATCATATCGATATTTAAATTACTCAGGGTTATCATCGTGCATCATGCATAGGTAAAATTTAGCATGATAGTCACCATGGCCTCCTGGTATTGATTGATTACGTACATATTTACATACGTATGTACAATAATAGGTATTTGACTGAGGTTCAGATCTGGAAAAATATGCATATTATACATCTGACTAGCGTTGTTATCATCATCTCTTCTCTTGAGATGATTGTATAATAAGTACGACTTGAATATTTAATTGTTGCCCAATTTGAATCCTCAGTCAAATAGGTTGGGTCTTCTGGTCCAATAATCTCGAAATAATTACGTCGGAAAGAAAGGAACTCATCCACAAAACCTGACTCACGTATCATTTACCATTTTCCACCTTGTATTATCATTATTATATTATTATTATTAGTACCATCAGTGCATTACCATCACAGAGTGGACCACTACTATTAGTGGTCAATCTGCTCGACTTTGTGTGGTACATTTCCTACGAAAGAAATCAAAGCTTCCCAAAAATATACTTAATAAAATAATAAACGAATAAAATATTTCAACTCTGATAAGTAATAAACTTAAAACTGTTACGTTTAAAATTTTGAAAGTCAGTGTATTATCAGTGGGGCACTCAAAGTGAAGTAAAAATATTAGTGTCCGTTAAAAATTTATACTTTCAATCGTGAAAATTTAGAAATACGATAAGATTGAGACCCTTGAAAACTTCAAGTTGATAAGCACTAAAATTAACTCAGATTAAAAGAAGAAGATTGACACATTGACATAATTAATACCTAACATAGCATTTAATTTTAGACAATTTGTACATAACTTTATTATTTAGTTATTATTAGAGACGAACAATTCAAAGTAAAGTTGCGCAATTCAAATAATGGATATTCTCCATCGATTAAAGTATTGTTCTCCGCAACGCCTCCCCTTCTGGGAGGAAGACCCAGACGTGGAAGATTTCCCAATGTTTGCACAGCGAAACAATAACAATGATCCGAACAATACGAGTAGTACTGAATCCGAATGGTAAACTTTATCAATTATTTCATGTGTTATCATTATTCTATTTATAAATCCGCATTTATCATACGTGAGAAATTCTGGTTGAGAATACTGTTAGGATTTTACTTAATATATTTCTAAATAATTCGCAGGGGAACCAAGTATGGCTACCTTGGCCAGAATATCGGCCCCCCTTCGAGCGGGAGTCACTCATCCCCCCTCGGCACGCTCGTCAAAGTGAATCCCAACAAAACCACGGCCACAATTTCAGGTCTTCAGTCCGGACTCAAAGGGGCGATAAAGCTCATCCAAGATCAGATCAATAGGAACAATGCCGACCTTGTGGGACAACAGGTAATAACTGAAATACTTTTTTTGTATTCGAAGTATCAAGAATTAAGAAAAAAAAAGAGAATTTTAAGAACTCGCCAAATAATTTTAAGAATCCATTACACATTGAAGTATCAGTCACCTTGTTCACATTTTTCATTGTGCATCAACTTAAAAATTCCTCTCTGACTGCAAAATCATGCAACTCACGAATCAATAAACTAATTTCTTGTTTAATTCATTCGAACAATATTAGAAAAGTATGAAAAAATGACAAGCTGATTAAGTAATAGTTAATGAATTTTAGACCCCCAAAAAATATCACGCAAAAAATAAATGGTGAATGCAAATGTCTCATTTTATGTATATCTCTGTGTAAATGCTTGCTTACGACTTACAAAGTCGCAAGGACGAATATACGATTTGGAAAAGGTAACCTCATATTCCATCCATTAGTTCAGTTTTAGTTTACAGTTTTCAAAGTTTAGTACAGAAAATGGATCATAATTCTGAATTCTAACCTAATCATATACGCAATCTCTCTACAGAACGCCAAGAGTTTGACGCTTCAGCTGAAAACGCTCGAGTACCAGCTTTCTCGTCTGGACAGCTTGGAGGAGGAGTACACCCTTCAGCAGCGCCTTCGCGAAGGGGTTCGTTCCATGGCCTATGCATACACGCTGTCCACCGGCCACCACCAGAAACTCGCCCTGGCCAACGTGAAGGCAGGGTTTCGAGAGTGCACAGAGTCACTGGGGGCACTGGAAGGTCAACTGCAACAATTCCTGGGCGCCTTTCACCTCACGATGAAGGGGATCCAAGGGTTTGCCCGTCTCTGTCCGGGGGACGTGTACGAGATCGTGGTGAAACATGGGGTACAGAAGTGGAAAACGAGAACGAAGGTGAACAAGGACGGGGGACAGGAGTGGGACTACCCCGAGGCTAAAATCATCCCCATCCTGGGTCAAGATCTGTTCATTAAGGCGGCGGAAGTTAAGACGCTTGGGAAGCAGGTCTTATTGGGGAATAAGTTTTGCGAAATTTGCCACCTCTTTTCCGCTCATCCACAACTCATGACGGTAAGGCTTACTCGGAAGTGTTGGATAACCACGAATTGACCTGCGAATTGATGGTTTAATTAATTAATACAGGTGAACTTGAATCCATCCGGTTCCCTGAAACTGAACTTGATGGTGGAATGGGACCCCCTTGCCCAGTTTTATCACCCTGGCGCCTCCTGCCCAACGATAGGGGTCAGCGAGGCCGAATCGCCACAAAGGAAAAGAAGAATGCTGATTTGCACTCCCAACAACTCCAGCTACACGTCAAGCATGACGCGAACGTCACCCTCGTCAATGTCCTCTTCTGGGGGAGACTCTATCGTATCGAGCATTGGGCGCCACCACCACCATCCTCGTCACTCGTCCTCCTCCTCTCCATCGGTGGGGGAAGAGCTGCGAGAAAGTCTCAGCAAATTGGCAGCTATTCTGAATGACGAGATTCAAGGGCAATATTCAGAGTTGGAATTGGTCGAAGTGAATGTGACGGCGCTGAGAAGATTGGCGTTTCAGGTAAGAAGCGAATAATTGATAAAACTGTGTGACGTTTAGCTTACTACGTAAAATTCTCATTACTGTTTCAATCATGTTTTTTGTCTTGTGTGATGTTTATTCATGGTTTTTTGGTGTTTTTTTTATTGTCCTCGTCATTCTTCATGTTACTTCTTCGATTGTCCTGTCCTGCCCTGCCTGCCTGCTACCCGATTCAAGGAGTGGCCAACAGACTCTCTCTCCCGAAGTCGGTACGGACCTCGATCTTCCAGCTGTAACGGGGGTGCTACGAACAAAAAGGGAGCCAGGTCTTCCTTGTTCTTTTCGGGGACAAAGTCCGCGTCCACGTCCTCCCTCAACATTGAGTCTGCCCTGGAAGCTTTCTCCTTTCTGGACAGCGAAATCTCATCCCCACAGAGCGAAGAGGTTCCTCCTCCTCGATGGGTGGACATGATGTCAAGCTCCACGCCACAGTGCTCCCTTCGTCTCGTGAGTGCCTCTCCTGCTAAAAAAACTGTCTTTCTGTTTCTTTTGTGTTCTATAATTTTGTCGTCATTATTTTGTGGTTGTCATTTACATATTTATTTATGATTATTTAATTAGTTGGTCTTATTACACCTTTGTCACTTATACAGCTCCCCGTGGAAGAAGAATCTATAAAACTCATCCCCACCAAGAAATCTTCCAATGGGACGACCACGACTACAACGAGTGACTCTGGAATCTCCTCTCTTACCTCAACCTCGAGCAGAAGCCCGTCCCCTGGAGATATTTCGCCCTATGTGACAGGGTCCGAACAGCTCGACATCGTCCTCCACACGCACATTCAACTCTGTCTCAAATTCGTCAATGTGAGCACTTTAAACCTTCGACCAGTTCTACATAACTTGACTATTTATTATTACCATTGCTATTTTTAGAACTTGGGATCCTTCGGTCCCTTAAAATGGAAGGAAAACAACGCTCTGACCAAACTCCACCAACAGGGCGTCGTTCTCAGCAATATTCTTAATCTGATCAGAACCGGTGGCGGCGTTGAGCATCATGGAAGTAGGAATAATAACCAACATGAAGCAGAAACAGTGCACCACCCATTTGAATTGGAAAGAATGCCATTTATCCATGTGCGTAAAAGCCCACTTACCACCATAGGTTCCAAAGTTTGTATCTAATTTAACCTTCATGGTTTGTCAGGCCTTGTGGAATAAAATAACTTCCACGACTGCATCCTCCAATGTCACGACGGCGGATCAAGTCGCTTACACGCTGGAGGGAGAGATTCGCAAATTTCACCCCAACCCGAACGACGCCCCACATTTGGCCAAGTCAATCGTATTGCAAATGTTGGACGAAACAGTGGTTGGAGGCGTGTCAGCCGATGTCGATATGGGAGCCCTGTTCCAGCTCGAGAGACACCGCCCCCTCACACTCTTGCAATTTATAAGCTACCTCAAACCCTACGAGGCGTCGTTTCCCCGCTTGGTCAACGACATTGCGGAAGAAGGTAAATAAATACTATTTTTAGCAAGTCGTTATACTGCAAATTTTAATTCACGCATAAATTTTGGATCTACAAAAATTTTGCATTCCTTGAATGAAATGTTCACAACCTCCATCTCAAAGTTGAGTCGTTCTGCCGTGGAGAAATACTGCTCGTTGGTTTGAAGGACCCCATGAGTCGGTCGTACTCTTTGATCTGCAGATAATCAAATAGAGACTTATGCATTGAAAACTGAGTTACTACACAGGTTCACCACCCACCATGGCCTGCGTCTTAATAAACTCTGCCGTTTGATGCGAGAACTTGAAGCGATCGTCATAATTTTCACGGTCATACGAACCTTGCCCAGCTTCATACCAGCCCAGCCTGCACAATTTGGTTAAAATATCGAGTCAATCAATTAACTGATTTGTAACTTGTTTGTACATACCGATGCAACTCCGTCTGTTGTTCACAGAAGCGGTCCTTAGGCACAGAGTATGCTTTACGAATTGCCTCCTTAATCAGGTCGTAACCTGGGACGGATTCTGGGCAGATTTTCGGTGGTCGCTCATTTACTTTCGGAGTTACGAAATCCACTACAACCAATTATCATCTATTTAATTGCAGATTATTTAAGTTGTGCATTTTTAATGCATAATAACTTACGAGTTTTCTTCGTGTAAGGATTGACCTGGTAGTTGGTGAAGAGGGCAAATCCTGCATTGTTCCTCTTGTTCACTTCCTGAATGTAGACAGGATTGTTCAGCAGCGACGTTTTCCTCGACGTTGGAGGCGCAGTAGACTCTGGCTTTCCACTTGACATGCTGAATTTGAATTATTTTCTGATCTACTAATTGTAAAATTGATTTTCCGATAAATTGTACTTTACATAAAGTTATCATTTTCGGAAGTAATCAATCAAAACTTTATAAAATGTTCCCCTAGTTTTAACTCGTAAAATTTTATGCATTTTCAGAATTCCTCGCCCAGCAGCTCTCCTCCCCAACCACCCGACCGTCCCAAGTAGAGCACATTTTGTCCTCGCTTCAAGGTCACGTCCCACCCACCCCCGTCTTCCTCCCCCTCATCATCCTAATCTCACCAGAAAACGCCAACTCCAACTCACAAACGCGCTCCGCCGTGACAAACTATGTTCTCGGAATGGCGAATAGTAGTCGAAGGAGAGAGGTATTTAAATTGAGTATTTAAATTTCTTAATTTGGTGCTTATCTTATCTTATCTTGGTTCTTATCTGTCTCTCTAGATCTTGGAGAATTGTTTGGAGTTGTTAGAGTGGGAAGAGGCAGCTCATCGCCTGGCGTCCCTCTCGGTGCTGGAGCTGATTCGTGGGTGGGAAGAGGTCATGGAGGAAGTCGCCTATCTGGCACAGACTGACGCCGACTTAAGAGTGCGGGATGCCGCCAAGAGGTTCCTTCTCAAGGGAAAGGAGGGGGGACGGATGCACGAACAACTCACCCTCAGTTCCAACGGATTCCAAGGGCTACTCGCCAACTAATAATGTTATTAAACCCTGAACTAATCATCCAAGGACTATATACAGCCTAAAAAACAATAATCTATGTATCTTCAGCCAAAAAGAGAATCGACAAAAAAGTAGAGCACCACGATACCAGAAAAAATATGCCAGTTGGTTCTTCTTCAAGTATTATAATACTAATTGGAGAATAATTCCACTCCTAAACACACCTAAAAACAATCAGTCATTATTATTCCAGGAGACAAAAAACAATGATAATAATCCAAACCAGTATATGTATGAAGATGATGATGGAGAATTAGCTCAATAATAAAAGTACCTTATTCGATAAATGCAGTTATCTTTGTTGTTTCATGATGTCTCACTTTGTCCTCTCGTCTCATAATATTCATCATGAAATTTTACGTATGGCGAGATCTGGTTGAAACGTGATTCGTGTAACGTCGCATGTCATCTAGCGTTTGTTTGGTTTACACACATTGAGTATTTTGTGAATCATCTGCTTCGTAATAATAAACCCAATCTCAGTTACCAATACTGGATAATAATACTGGATAGTGCTAAATAATGTCCCTTTTTTAGGGCGTAATAGTTATTATAGTTTTGTTCATTTTACGGGACATATCGTTAGTGGCTTAGATCTAAATTACTGTGCAGTTATCCGTTCGTAAAGTGAAATAAAACCTCAGTTAACAGTTAATGTCGGGACAGTGTCCCTTAAACGAATTGTATACTAACTGTTCCCATCACGAAAATCTTAACTGATACCCCTAACACATGTTATGCATCATTCTTGGAGTCCTTCATATCATCATAATTTCTTTTATCGTGATTTACAGAAGTTGATCGGACCAATCCCACTCCAAGAAAAAAGGTAAGACATTTGTTAATTTATCATCCCTTCCTCCGTTCAGTCAGACTCCATCCGCCTCTTGTCACAGAATTCTAAAAATGTGTTACAAAATTGTCAGCTTATCTACGCATCGAATTTGTTGTGGTCTACTTTGCTTCCTGGGATTGGCGAGTTTCATAATTTGCACTATAATAAAAGCACTAAGCAAAGTAATTGTGGAGAAAAAATTGCTTATGTCTCGCTTAATAGCGAAACAGAAGTCACGATAGATGGGATTTGCAAGTTTATGCTGGGGATTGCCTTTTTAGCTTTTTATTGCATATTTCGCGACCTCTTTGTTGACAAAGCCGAGAAAAGTATGAACGAGTGAAATCTATAATTTCTGCATTTGTTTAAGTTAATAATAAATTAATTTTTATCCAGCAAACTTTGAGATTGAGATCAACTCGAAGACAATCGTAATTCGCCAAGGACAAGAGGAAACGGTAGTCGAACGGAAATCGAGCGACGAGAGGACAGTTATCCGGTTAAAAAAATAGTCCAGTATCCTTCGCACTAAAAACACCCACCGTGGAATGGAAGATTAATTACGATGTCTTATGGAAGAACAACAATCTCTCGTTAACAAAACTTTTAATACCCTTCAAGAGCAGACTAAAACGACCAATTAGTCCTTGTAGTCGCAAGTTGTATTATCATATATTGTTCCGTTATAATTTTGTCCGTCCTTGGAGCTGCACTCTGGATACATTTGAAGTGGGACGATCCGGTGAAGGAAAAAAGTAATTCATTTGATTATCTGTTTTTTTTAAATTTATGAATGACCATCATTACTTTTTATACAGAGAACGACAACAACGGCACCACTAATAAACTCAAGACAAAACAAAAACAGGAGTAATTTAATTTACAAGAGTAAACAGTTTAAAAATTAGTTCAGTTTGCAAAAGTTCGTAAATTATAAAGTAAGCAAGTAAAAATGGCGACCCGAAAGAAAGTTCTCCTCAAAGTTATCATCCTTGGAGATTCTGGCGTCGGGAAAACGTCCCTCATGAATCAGTACGTCAATAAAAAGTTCACAAATCAGTACAAGGCAACGATTGGAGCTGATTTTCTCACTAAAGAGGTCATGGTCGATGATAGGCTGGTCACCATGCAGGTAATATATATGCAATATAAATAAAGTTATTGACATTTGCACTTGCGCAGTCATTAATCTTGAAAATGTGTCTAAATTGCAGATTTGGTAAGAACAACTACACTTATTCAATTCAACACTTTAATCGTGTCGAAAGTTTCGAGCAATAATGTAAATCTATGTAGGGATACTGCTGGTCAAGAACGATTCCAATCTTTAGGTGTGGCCTTTTATCGTGGAGCTGATTGTTGCGTGTTGGTTCATGATGTTACTGCCCCCACTTCCTTCAAATCACTGGACTCATGGAGGGACGAATTCCTCATCCAAGCCTCACCCAGAGACCCGGATAATTTTCCTTTCGTCCTTCTCGGAAATAAAGTGGACCTCGAGAATCGTGCTGTAATTGACCGAACTTATTTAACTAATCGTTAATATCAAAATTCCCGTGCCAGATCTAATATTTTCTATTATATTCGTCGTCAGGTTCCTCAAAAGCGTGCAATGCAATGGGCCGCCTCCAAAAACAATATGCCATATTTTGAAACGAGGTATTTGGATGCAATTTTATGGTTCACTTAATGCTACCTTAAGCGTTATTAATTATTTTTATTGTTTCAGTGCTAAGGAGGGGATCAATGTTGAACAGGCATTTCAAACTATAGCAAAGAATGCTTTGGCGCAGGAAACAGAGGTCGATATTTATAACGAGTTCCCAGATCACATCACCATCAATCCAGATTCGAGAAATGTTCGCAATGATAATTGCTCTTGTTGAGCATAGATAAGCTTATTAAACCCAAAAAAATTACTTACTGGCCGGGTATACATATATTAATTAATTAATTATCGTGTAGGTTAAAATTGTTTGTTTGTGACACGACCAATAAGACTTGTAGCGAATTGAATGAATACCGTGGTAGAAATCTTGTGTCTGTCGTAGCTTATAATTTAGTCTTTTTGGGTCAGTTCCTTATTTGTCATATTCTTTTGTAATCGCGTAAAAATCGGACAAGATGTCGAATCGAATAATTATTCTACGACTTGCTTCAATACTTATTAGATATTGCAATACTGTGTACACTTATAATTTTTCATGAACTTAATTTGTACCATTATAAGCCTGTGTTATTCTATGTATATGTATGCATGCAGCTATTATGTTCCGTTCGTGTGATTGTTACTCGTTTTAAGAGATAATTGTGTATCGAATAAATTCAGAACGAGAGGAATTCGACTAAAACTATTGTTTCTAAAATACTGCATACATTTATAGACGATAAAGTAGTGATTCAATTTGTAAATACTTCTTAAAGAGCAGAGGAAGAATCCGGAAGAAGTCTAGAGTTTCTTTCCGGTGAGTTATAAACTGAACAGGATGCGTAATACATACACTCACAATTCGGATCTTCTGTAAGTACTGACAGGAACAAAGTTCTTTCCACAAAATATATAATCACGACATTCAGTCGTTTCATCGCCGTTGTGATTATCTTATTATTTTCTGTGGTATTTAAAAATCTGTAGTAGGACATGTGTAAATCAATCAATTCGAGATTTCACCTCCTACTCCGCCGGGTGTGATGTCAAAAATGTTTATTTACGTTACTCGAGATATTCACTCATTTCACTCAATATGAAGCCAACCACCAAAGGAAATGGAGGCAGATGTTGTGAAAACAGTCGATTTGCCAACATTCCGAAACCAACCATTTGCATGCAGAATAATATAAATGGCACATAAAAAAGATAGAAAGAGGTATTCGTTTTCATTTTTATCTCTTCTTCTCCATGATTCCTCCTCGTTTCCGGTTCTCTTGTAGTCCACATCCACACGGTTTCAAACTTAACCGTCTCAAACGAACATAAAAAAGTGGCATCATACAATAAAATGTAACATGACACTACATGAAAATCATGAAATTTATGATATTTGACCTTGTCCTCACGGTCGTAGGTTGGTCGGAGATCAAAAATATTGATGGTGTTGATTTTTTGGTGCAATTTCCTTCAAAATGACACTCCAAATAAAAATTATCAACTCGACCGAAAACAAAAAATTACAAGCACAATGGCGAAAACGGCGTTTAATTATGTTGCATGAGGTGTTCTGAATCTGAATATATCCTGCTTATGGACATATGGACGGACAGACAAAGTGATCACAATAAGCGGCTGACGCCACTTAACAATGGCAAAACTACACAAAAGCTGGGTGACGCGATAATTGCTGGATTTGAAGCAAGTTCATACATAGTGTGGCAATCTGGCATGTCGACATAAATGAGATGATACATACGGCATTTTTCGTACCAATGGACCCCATTACACACACTTCCCTTCATCCAACTATCTGTAGTTTATTATGCACGACTTTTATCCTGATCTATTTATTCCTGTCCTTGCTAAAAAAATGTAGATATGCATATGCGGCTACCTCTCTCTTTTTTGCAAAATGAAAAGGATTAGACAGGTGCAGATAAGTATGTAAAGTACATACAAATTAATCCGACGTATGTAGCAGATTACAAAAATAGTTGTAAAATAGCGGCCCACATTAAAAATAAAACTGAAATTCCTTCAAGATCAAGAGATCCGAGAGGGAAATACGCCACACCATTTCTTCCGAGATTTATGATTATGACTTTTTATTATGAAAATCGAGCAGGCGGATCTCTACGAGCTATACATTTGTAGGTACATACACCTGCCCACACGATTTATTATTTATCATCAACAATTTGCATACACATGCTTATGTATGTATACCAGGTCAAATTGTCCATGCAGCCTGTAGTCTCAATCTGCCTCGTCGTGACCTTGTTAACGCATCTATAACCCACAAATCATGATAATCTCATCTCGAACACGGAGACGGAATAAAGCATTCCAAAAATATTTATATACGCACTACGACGATTACCCAACTACACGATAAAGCACTTATCCACCGCATCTGAAACATGTCTTTTTGAAAAATGTTGAACAGCTTTCGTATACACATATCTCTACCAAAAGCAAGAAAATATCAAACCAGGGAGCTCATCCTCGTCTTCCGAGCTAGTAAAGAAGTTAGTTAATCATAACTTTTATGTAAATATGTACTAACCACACGAGATTTACTTATCATACTGCTTACCAGCACATCGCCGTACGTACCTTAATAATAACAGAGTGTGAACATACATAATTCCCATCAACGCCAACGCCACGCCACGCACATCCCTCCCTCCCTCCTCAAAATGGAGGTCTCCCAGCGTATGCTCTCTGATTTTAATTAAACTAACGTTAATCGATCGCAAATTTAATTAATATGTGATTTGTAAAAGACACGATCCCCCAATGCTAAAGTTGTCAAATTTTGCACTTTCCAAATTTACTGTGCATTTTCTCCTCTCCTGATGCAGATATCTCTGCCAAACTTACGCGTTGGCAGACCGTATCTTTTCCAAATACAGATCGTATCTTTTTTCATATTACATAAATTTATGATCGATCGGCACTAGTTTAATCAAAATCGGAGAAGAGCATACGCTGGGAGACTTCCATTGTCAGATACTTTCCCCACATGAAAATTGCAAATGTGCAGGACATGACTCTGAAACTAAATATCGAGTAAAAATACGAATCGGGTAGATGTGCATACATACGACCGTTGTGGTGCCGGTGGTGGATAACATTTCTCCCGAGACTCGAAAAATAAACAGATTTTAAACAGTTTACATTACTATTTACAACAAGGTGGACGTATACATTGGTTGGTGTTACGGATCGAGGAACGATTTGGACCAATATGGGTCACGTTTCCAACTTGTGTTTTTTCACACTACTCACTGATCTCCTTCCTTCCTGTCATGTAAAGTAAAACTTGTGTCAACACAGGATATGAAATAATTGAGTGACTTAGTCCAGGTCTGACTTCAGGTCACTGGGTCAGACCGACTACGTACATCGATATCAACGCCACAGACAAGATACACAAAAGCAGGGCGTCTCGCTCTCTCCTCGGTGCAGTTCTTCTCTAATCAAAAAGCAGGGGTGGGTAAAATACTTTGTCAAAATAAGTACAGGATGTTGAGCAAGTGAGCTAGGTTCTTCCCAGGGTTTGGATTTCCGGGACTGTTACACCCACAAAAAGACGAAAATTTACGTGCAGAATTCAGAAGTTACACGAAAATACATACACGTTTTGTGAAGAAATTAAGTTTTATCGCAGTCAAAAATACATTGTTTTCACTTTTAAAAAATGAAGTATTTTGACCGTGAAAAAGAGTTAATTTCTGCACAAAACCTGCGTTTTTGTGACTAATTTATTCTCCACGTACGTAGATTCTTGTCTTTTTGTGGGTGTAAACAGCCCCGCAAACCCAAACCCTAGGAAGAACTAGCTCAAAATAAGTATGTTTGACAAAGATTTTGCCCACCTCTGCTAAATAGTAGCAAGTATATCTTTTAAACTAAACAAGAGTAAGTAAACAACCGGACATGAAAGAAAAGTCCAATAACCAAATAAATAATCACCTTCGTTTCATCATCTCTCCTCAAAAAAGAGTAACTTTTCTAACCGTGTTCAGTTTCTGACAGTGGTTGCAACAACGAGGACGAAGCAATTTCTGAGAAAAAAGTCGCCAAAAATCCGCACCAGTTTACTCAAAATCTCCTCTTTTCTGACCCTCTCGGCCGTGAAAATGCAGCGCCAAAGGAAAAAGGACCTCAACCTCAAGCCCAACCGGGTCTTGGACAAAAGGTCGTCGAGGGGCATGATTTATGAGAATGAGGAGCTCCGCCTGCGCACCCTCGCCATCGCCGATGACGTGGATCGGGGACACACCGATATCAAAAAACTCCGCAGGGAGAACGACCACCTCAAAAGGGAACTTTGGGCCTTGCGGGACGAGTGTGAAAAGTTGGAGGAAATCTTGAAAAGGGTGCGAATTTGGATTTGAATTTATGTATTGGGGAGAAAATTGCAGTGTTTCGTTTCTTGTGGGTTTGCTACATTTCTTGCACTGGAAAGCAAGAAATGCAAGAAATGTAAGGTGCAAGAAAGTGCAAGAAATATGCGCCATTTTGCCATGCGCGGTCTGAAGGATAGCGTCGGGACGTAGTTTCTTGCACCTTGCATTTCCTGCAGGTCAAAATACGTAGCTGCAAGAAACCACTTTCTCCCCGTTATTTCTTGCAAGTTGTTACTTTCACTGGAAAATTGACTAAAAATTCGTATTAAATTTCTTGAAATTGATTACTCCAGGTGATCAGCAGTGGAAACGTGGACCCCTCTTTGCTCCCATATCCAGAGTTGTTTCTTGACTCTGAGGACCCCTCCTTGTACGATGGAAGCAGTCGAAAGGGCTCCATAGAAGAAGGCGAAGGTCTTGCCGCTGGCTTTGTCAACTCCATTTTTTGCACGTCCGGTGATAACGAGGACACTGGTTCTGTGATTCACAACGTACAAGGCGAAGACGTTAGTCTGGTCGAGTCACAAATTATCGTGGACCCACAGCAGCCATCTACTTCCTCATCTTGCACCCCACCACCAATCCCCAAATACGTCATCGGTCCAGATTTGGAACCCTTAAAGGAAGAGAACGAGGATCCCAGCAGATCTCAAAGTTTGGCGACGCTGGCGAACTTGGACGGCTCAACGCACTCACCTCCTCCTCCGAGAATTGTGCAGTTTGATAACTTCAATCTAGACGAAGATTCCGACGAGCTGCCCGACCCAGAAGAACTGCTTCTTCACCAAGAAGAAAACGAGGACGGGATTCACACCCCTCTCATCCAAATTACGGGCCCCGCAACGCCATCCACCTCCAGCAAAGGGACCACACCCACTCCGATGTCCACACCCAGACCCAACAGCACGCAACAGCAGTATCAGCAGCACGATACGGATAATAATATCGCAGATATTCAGGTATTTATTACGTAATCACCATACTTGAGGCAAATTGAGACAAATAGTACAATTCCAACAGGACGGTGGCTGTGTGACTTCCATCCCAGCCAAGTACGAGGTAACATCCCAATTCCACGTGACTGGCGGTCGTGACACTGCCTGCTCCTCCCCGTTATTCGCCTCACCTCGAACTCCAACCCCACCGGGGGGTGCCCGTGCCTCTAAAAAATTTCGTAATTCCTCCGGCGCTCTCATTCTCCGGAATGGCGAGCACTACCACGTCCACTCCCCACAACACGCCACCGCCACGACCTGTCCATCCTGCTATCACAGCGAGCCCAGTCTGGTCGGCAGTCTTGTCGGAGAAAGTTACCCGGTCGACTGGAATCTGGCGATGATGAGACAGCAGCGAGACCGGTCTCGCATCTCCACCTTGCTCGGTCTCGAAACCATTCTTGCCGTGGGTGTGGTCAGCGGTGCTGGTGTGACCTCTCCGCTGGAAGGGCAGGATGTCATTGACGAGCTGGAGGCGCAATGGGATCCCTCTTTGGAAAGGGTGAAAGGGATCCGGGTGTTAGGCGGGGTCGTCATCTTTCTCCGGGTGAGGGATGCCGAGGCGTTGAGCGGACTTGTGGATGCGTTTGGAGAGGATAAAGATGGATTAAGGGTCAAAGGGGGCAGGGTCAAGTTCCATCATGGGTCGGACGGGTAAGTCCTTATATATAATAAGTATTAGAAGGCGGATATGTATTTATTTTCAAGTTTTTCATTTGATGGTGACCGACGGTCAAACTTTGTGCGTGTGTTCCTCGAATTGATCACAAAAATTTCAAAAAATTTCTTACATATTGTTACATATTTATAGGTTTTCAGAAAATATTTATAAATGTTTCCGATATTATTTGAAAAATACGTAAATATTTTAGAAAATTATTTTAATATTATTTTGATTAATTGAAATTAATTTTATTTTAAAAAATGCATATATGTACTTCATACATATATGCATTTTCAACGATGGGAGATGAAATTTTGCGAAAATTCTTATCTAATTTTTTTCCGCACATATTTCGTAAATATTAAGTACGTAAATTTTTTTATAAATACACACCCTCCATCTGATAATTAATGATAAGTCAAAATCCTCACATTACATCGTTCCATAGCCCAACGGAACTTCGTCTCATCGGCCTCGGTCCTGAAGTTCCTGACGAATCTGTGGTCTCTTTCCTCAACGCGTTTGGCCAGGTCATCTCCCCCATCGAGCGGAGGTCCTATAAGGGCGTCGAAATATGGGAACGGACCATTCGTCTCCATCTCGTCACTCCTCATCCGTCTACCCTTTGCATTTCCGGCTACTCCGTCACTCTCACCGTGGTGCAGGAGGGGAGGAATTACTGCTTGTTGGACACCAGCCAAACGCCTGTCAATCCAAATGTCTCTCTCGCCAACCCTTCTGCTGGCATTGAATTATTGAAATCTGACACTGGGACGGATTCCAAAAACCCGTCAAACAAATCTGGTAATACCCGTCGACACTTTAATTCCTGGTGGTTACGAGGTGTTGACACTCAATTTCACCCTTCACTTCACTTCTATCACAGATGAGCCAGCAGCAGTAGCTACGTCGTCATCGTCATCCCTTCTCCTCACAGCACACAAACCTGTGGCTCGGAGTTCTTCATCCAACCCACGCCTCGAACTTGGACCTTCCCCTTCATCCCCCGTCCCGCAAAAGAGGTCCATTTCCGCTTCCGTCTGCACCGCCAACCTTCCCCCCGAACAACATCCGGGCAGATTGTTCTCCAAGAACCCAAACCTACACAAAACCTCCGCCGTGATTACTCCCCCTCCACCAGCCACAGTCCCCCCAACGCCGACAGTTAGCAGCACAATCCCAAACTCAGCCCCGAATCTCACCACGCCAGGAAGCGTTCCCCCGGGAGGAAAAAAACCACTGTCCCGCGTCCTAAAGTCCTCCCCAGGAAATCTCGTCCCTCCCACGCCCACCACTCCCACCGTGGAACAGGCGGTGACTCCAGGGACCCCGAGTTCACCACGGACCGGACTTCGTGCCGCTTTTTGCCGTGGTCTCTCCATCGATCCAACCGCACGGAGGAGAGATTCCGCCATTTCGAATCACGCCCCTGCCGACAACAATAACAAATCCTCTGACTGGAGACGAGGAAGCAGTGCGTTCTACTCCCGATTTGGTGGTGGTGGTCATCAGCCCCTGAGTCAGATGAATTCGTCGTCCTCCTCCCACAATTCTTATCAGAGTAGGAGCGGGCGGAATGGGGGCGGGGGTGCGGCCGGGTTGGCTGGAAAGGGCGAACCTCTCCCGTGGTGAGAAATTTATACATTGCACAGTATTCTGTACTTGTATTTGAATGGTGGGCCATACGTATATGCATGAATATCTCTCTTTTAGGTGTGGATGTTGGGGAAATGGATGCATTTAATAGAAGGAGAGGAGAGTAGCTTAATTAATACTCAAGCAAGTTGGTTAGTTAGTTCAACTATATATTTTCGATACTTAATGAATTGTTATTTATTACTACACAAATGCATCATCGAATAGAATAAAGTATAAAATTGTCAGAAAAGGGCCTTCTTCCAGGCGACATTTGGTTATCATTGTTTAATTTCTATGACCATTTTATAGCACCAAACAAAAATAAACGTACCGAAGCATGGTAGCGAAAAATATTAGCAATTATTGGCGTCCCATACAAATATTATTTGTAAAACAAATCCTAATTTAACTCTATGTATAATATACTTATCAAAAATGTCTTCTACCCAACCGGTAGCGTCCTCCTCTACAAAAGCGATGCGACAAATGGCCGAGAGACTGCTAAAAACACAATCCCAACTAATGCAACCAGGTCCAGTAAATCCACCAGAGTTAGATAACCACCCCACCCATCATTCCTCCGCTGGGATCAAATTACGAAGTCGCACCCCATACCATGCACGCCCTCATTTACAACTGATTAACGACGACCAAAGAAGGATCAAACCTCCCCAAACTTATCGCAAGGAGACGCCGTCTAACTATTGTCTGAAGAATTATCAGTCCTCCTCCTACTCCACGATACAAGATGATGATGCCACACCCACCACGACTACGACTACGACGACGACCTCTTCTTCCAACAAATTTTCCACCCTATCGCTCACCGAGCCGAATAAAAAGGACGACGACGACGACAACGACCCGTCCTCCCTCCTACTCCTGCAAGACTTCTGGGTCCGGACAAAATCTCCGCTCAACTACAATATGACTCTCCTCCATCAAGTCGTTCACGGTCCGACCTTCCTCGATGCGGATGATGATGATCTTCTTAATGACGAGTCATCCTCCTCCTTCGCGGTCGTTTCCGCTTTAGCCGTTCCAGTAAAATGTTTCAAAACGCGGGTGTCACATCCCCTCGATTTGACTGGCGAAAGTCCGGAAGGTTTCCTCCAGTGCATGACCGTTCTAGAACAGCAGACTCATCATCATCATAACCATCACGGTAGCAGTGGCGGCAGTGGAAATAATAATAGACGACTGTTCAGCCTGTTCATGTCGACGGGGGAGTGGCTGCTGCCCGACGACCCAGAGCCGCCCAACTTGACAGAGGAGACGCGACTTCATATCAAGTTTTTTAAGGAGAACAGTCCCCACTACTTTGCCGTGGCCTGGCTCCCCCTAACCCAACTCCTCCTCCACCACAATGTCACGGGTCAGGAGGAGATTCGCGACAAGGTGGCGATCACCACGGTGCGGAGAAGGATCAGAATTGGGTCGCTCAAATATAAAATTATGTTCGGGCTGGGAGCGCAGTTGAAGAAATACAAGCCAAATCAACATCAGGAGGAGGATCTAATAAATATGAGTGATGGTGGTGGAGGTGTCAACAACGCTGGACGTGGTTCTTGTGGCAGTACTTCGTTAGTAGTAGTGACCAAAAATAGCAACGCGTCATGCAGCAGACCTGCCGCGACAAATTATTCCGGACTCGTCGTCCCACCGGATGTCGATTGGTCGCAAAATTTGGAGGATAATTCCAGGGTTTTAAATTCCAAGTCCTTTATTAAAAATGTGACCAAGAGTGACGCCACCACGAATACGTCACCCACCACAAAAGAGCAGGTTTCTTCATTCATATACATATTTTGCATAAGGGAATGTCCATAAATTATGCCACGGCAATTGACAGGCCGATTTACGCCACATGTGAAAAAGGGGGGAAGGAGGGTATGAAAAATCGGGGTTTTTGAATGACATAATTTTTGGAGGTTCCCTAATTCATGTGAACCGAAATATTAACCATTAAACTTATGCATATTTTTTTAGCAGGTCGTCTCTCTCCAGAGACAGATTAGTGGATTAGAACGCGTCGCCCGTATCGTGCAGGTGATAACTTCCACGACACCTTTCCCACCCCCGGAGGAAATTTTAGACAAGGTGGAGGACGCCTTGGCCCCCCTTCTACTCGAAAATATAAATCCCTCAGTATCCCAACGACCAGAATCAAGCGAACACAATTCACAGAATCCGTACACATTACAAAACAAAATTAATTAAATGATGATAACAATTTGACGAGATGAAATGCACAATAAAATTGAATCTCATTTAAAGATTATTATTATTACGGTACGGAGTAGCATAGCGTAAAAGATAATAATAAGGCAGTGACCGATCCGTAACCTCACACATCTCACAATCTCAAGTAGCAGTAGTAGAAATGAAACAATAAATAATTGCACTTCTTCTTCTTCATCTCCCTTCACCCGAAAAACCGGTCTCGGCACTTTCATTCTTGAGTCTCCTCCGAATAATAAAAATTCCTCGAGATCAGCAATAATCACTTCACTCTCGCTCATAAAACGTATAATCCCAGTAGCATCTTATGAGATGAGATGCGATGAGATGCAGGCATTGAACTCCAAGTTGTTGATCCCGTCCGTTCGTCCGTCGAGATGATGCAGTAAGAAGTTGACCAGTGTGACCAGTGCGTCGCGTCAACGTCAAACTACCACCTCTTCTCCTCCTCACTCTCTCACCAACCTCTGCTCACGACGCAGTGGTCACTCACACACCGAACGCCTGGATTGGCATCTTGTCCACTTTCGTACCGCATTTATTGTTCCACAACGTCATCATGACGCCAGGATCCTTCCTGGTGAGTCAACTTATCTCCCCGAAAAAAAAATCTGGTGATTTTAATTGTAATTTTTATTTCAGGGTCTCTCCCTCATCGTGGGGATCTGTCTGGCGGGCGTGGTTGCTCAACAATACTGGGTGGGCCCTCCCGACCATGACGATTCTGCCGCAGATGACCTAGCCGCCGACTATTCTGCCGAGTATGCCGACTATGTTCCCTACTCCTCGTATGGTGGGGGTGGTGGTGGTGGTCCAGTTGTGAGCGGTCCACCCGCCAGCAGCTCAGAGGAGCGCGACAGTGGGCTGGTGTACGTTCCTCCAGGAGCTTATCCAATCCCAGGGCCGGGTGATTATTGGGCCGAAGAGAGGGGACGCGACGGTTGGGGGAAAGATAAGAAGAAAAAGAAGAAGAAGAAGTCCAAGAAGAAGGTGAGACTGATAAGCAAAAGTTGCTGATTGGTTAATTAATTACTTACTAATGTGCGTACTAACTATGCAGAAGAAGTGCAAGAAGAAGGGCAAGAAGGGCAAGAAGAAGAAGGGTTGTGAGAAAAAGGGGGTAAGAACTCCATACATATTTGTCTTATCTGACCAGATAACTAATTACTGGCTTATGTACAGGGTTGGGGGCCCGTCACCGTCTCCACATCCGGAGTACAGGTCGGTTGGAAGGGATGGATTCCTCCCGTAAAGGGGGCAGGATGGTAAATTCATAAAAATTGAGACAGTCTCACCTCACCTCCGGTCTAACATTTCGTCTCATTTTTCTCGCGTTGCAGGGGTTGGTTTGGTGAGAAATCTGGCCACTTCTCCTTCACGGACAAGGGAGGTTGGGGCAAGCGACCTGGCCCACATTTCCCAGATCCTGGACCACCCACTTTCATCAAACATGGTCCCATCCATCACAAAGTTATCCATCAGCAAAAAGGATGGGGCGGATGGCACAAGAAATAGGAGAAGAACCACAAATACAAAACATATCAGACAAATTGGCTTCATTTCATTCCAGTAAAAATCAAGTAGAAATCATCCACCAGAAGAAAAGCAGGGGTACTAAGAAAGACATTCATTGTTCGTATGTATGTAATAGTAGAGTAGATGTTATTGTTGCTCAATAATAAACTTATAACAGTTCATCCTTAATTTTTTGGTGTCATCAATTCATTATTTGAGCAGCATTATCAGAGTTCACTACCCTACGTGCGAGCAGATTCGATTTCCAGACCGGTCTTTCAAAGCTCAAGATCCGTAAAATATCCTTGCAAAAAAGTGGTCTGGGTTCTCTTTTCTCTTAAAAACAGGTTCCTCTTCAATGCAATAATTACTCAACGGAGAGAAGAGAATAAATACGTTGCTGGTTAGAATACTTAATTATTTCGCAGCAGCAGATTGGCAGCAAGTGTTTGATTTGCATGTGCTGGACAAATTTAAAATTCAAGACTGGACTTTACAAGATAATGTTTTAGATGGATATGCAGCCGAGTTTTTCACCAATCCATTCCACCCGCAATACATTGGAGAGCATAATAATCGTTAGTACTTTTAAACAACTAACACTTTTTTATTGGTACTTCTTGCCAACAACATAACTCGTGATGAGCAATCTTATTAAGTATAATAAGTCTAAAATTTAATAAGATATGATAAATCAATGAAAAGGTAACCAATTCCAGCTAAATCTACTACATATCATCACTATCCATTTACTTACAAGTAATCTTATTGTAATTTAGTAAATTTGATTGATTGTGCTTCATCTGCATGCATGCACACAATTATTGACTGGAACATAATAAATAGATAGCTTTAAGAATAGCAATATTCTTATTTCTCCAATAGTTGAAAATTAAAGCCTCATCAAAATAACCAGTTATCGAATTCGAATCCATAGCTAGCTTATCAAAATTGAACAAGGAAAATAACAAAACAAAACTATGTAGTCAGTTATTATTTTTTAAATACATGGAATGACCGCAATAATCGAAAGTCAACAAAACAGCTATTAATTTTTGACGATACACATTTCCTATTCCCAAATAACAGTAATAATCAACCAAAAGAAGCGTAGAAATATATAAGTAAGTGACTTGTGATTTAGCTAACCTTAAGTACTGTATTACTCGTGAAGTAGGAAATTAGAAGGAGAATATTTACCAGTAGTAGTTACACTTAATTTATTGATTTATTAAGACATGATGAAGCTGTACGGATATCCGTGCGCTTTAGACTTGAAGATGGACAATATCATTCCGAAAAAGAGGGCAAACATTCCCAGCCCTACGACTAGCATAACACGTCTCTTTCGAATGTCGCTCTTCCCTTTGGCTGCTTCAATTAGAAGAATCATTCCAGTCGTTATTGCCGCACCTGAACAAATGAAACGTGAAACGTGAAAGATTACATTACTTTGGTAAAAAATATTTCTAAAATCAAGGGTTTAAATTACTAAGCGCAAAGACGATATAAGTCTCCACCACGAGTTGTCCTTGTGATGAGGAATGGATGTAGGAAATTCCCTTCTGTGTCCTTTGTACTGTTGAGAACATCATTTTATCAAATAATGGATTAATTATTTATCATGCAAAATATAATTTTAAAGAATAGTACCGACGGGAGGTGACCGAATTTGGTTCCACATTTGACCCGAAGTGAAACAGAACACGATAAACTGTCCAGATGGAAATAGAATACATGTAATTCGCTAAACTAATTGCTCTATTTATTGAGAAATAATTTCCAACATCTTTGTAATACTACTAGTTCTTACCAATGAAGCAATTCCCCAAGCAGTCCTGTTGTACAGAAACTCCAAATTGTTCCTCTTCAAATAGAGCAGTCCTCCCACCAACACCGTCACTATTACGAGAGCCATTGTTCCAGAATAGTTTGGTGGTCGAAAGACTCGAATCTAGATATTTTAAACAATTTATCGCAATTTTAACCCAATAATTTATAACTAACGTGAAAATTAAGCTCACTTGAATATCGGTCCGTTCTTGAATCCATCGTGCTACAGCTTCCGCTTCAACGCCAAACCGTTGTATGTCCATCTTGTCTTGCGTTGAAGGTTTCCCCTTGGCTGGAAAGTGAATGAATACTGGGGCCGTGTACAGTTTCATCTATATAATTAACAAGCAAACTAATTATTAGTCCTACCCCCTTAATCAATAACAATTCAATCAACCACTTACACTTTGAAATATGCTCTGGCACTCGTCAAAGTCCACTAAGGCGAAGAAGAGCTTGTTCGAATAAACTTGACTATTGAATCGGAACGAATTTGCAATAATTGTAAATTCTTCGTTCGCAGGGCCACAAATTGTACAACCGCGACTCGCCGACAGGGCAGTGAACATTGCAATCACAGAGTAGTTACGTGGAACGCCTGAAAATAAATGAATTCAAGCAAGTTATTTTTTTATGTGTGATAATTATATACTATGTCCTCCAAGTATCGAATAAAACGAGGGTTTTTGCACTTGCGGGATTAATTTGGCGAACCCACACCCACCTTTCACAAATTCATTAAACTTGGCAACATTCATCCTGATAATTGGACGCTTGTTTGACAAATCAGTCAATTGTTGGACCCGTTCTTGCAAACTCATTCCACTCGACTGTAACAAAATCGATAAAACCAATTAATAATTAATTCGAATCAAAATTATAACAATATGCTTAAAATATGAAATAATAGTCAAATTAATACTACATAAATATTAGTAACGAACCTCCTTCTTTTTTACGGACGCGTCCCCACCCCCCGCGATGAGACAGAGCATAACCACCCCCACAATGAGGGTGGTGACAGCAGTGACGAAAGTTGACGACGTGGCCATATTTTTTGCTGGACAATTAGCAGAGTCGGCTCAGAGCTCTCTGTCAATGTTTAAACCGTGCGGTTGTTCGAGTTGTCTCATTTTCTTCGCAAAAATGCACGTTTCGTATGCAAATGTTGTTTAGTTTTGTATTTGTTTGTTTTTATGCGGTGAAAATTTGAGCGTGCAAGTTTTTTGCACACAAAATTTAGACGAGACGAATTCCCGAACAGTAATAGAGACACTCGGAATCTCCACTTTTATTATCATCATCACTGTATTGTATAGCTGGTGGTGGTGTGATCAGTGGCCGCGGAAGCGTGTGGGACAGAGGGACAAATTGTCCCGGACAATGTCCCCACGGGTATTCGATGTCCCCATTATCTTCCCATGCTATGTATACCCCTCCCTCAATGTTAATGTCCCCAGATGTCCCCACGGCTTCCTTTGGCCACTGGGTGTAGTTAGTCTGGCCATGCTCTTGATTCCATCCGGTTCTGTTCTGAATATGTATGTTCCAAAAATGGACTTGATCATCCCGATTTCTTATTTAAACTGTACTCTTTCTTACTACAGACTCCACCTTCGCCGCAATAAAAAATTCCGGCTCCGGTGGTACGCTTACCCGTGCGTTCTATTATCTTCGCCCCGATAAGAAAGAATCTGCATCCTCCATCCATCCATTCCCCGGGTGCTCAACTTGCTCGAAACCGTTTTTGAGAACCCAGCTCATTCCGAAATCAGCTCAGTCCGTCTTTTGTCTACTCGCAGAGAGAAAGGAGGACGAACAGCTTTCGTTTTTCGTAAGTAAAGTCTTCATTGGTATTTAAATTTAACGGGTGATTAAATTCTGATTGTTTTTGTATTCTATTTTTTCAGGAAAGCGCAAGGGCTGTTCATTCCACGTCATTCAGGCAGGGTTGAAAATCGAAACTTGACACCTTTATAAGCAGCAGAACCGCACCCATCAAACGGCAAGATGGTTATTGAACAAAAATTCAAACCCGGGGAGGAACCCGACCCCACGGAATTCCTTTTCGTCTCAATGGAGATGAAGAGGCAGGACCAGTCCAAGCCTTATGACGCCAAGAAGGCTTGCTGGGTCCCTGATGAGAAGGAAGGGTTCGTTGTCGGAGAAATTGCTGGAACCAAGGGGGACATTATCATCGTCAAAGTCGATGGCGCCGTAAGAAGTCATACATATTATTAGTTCATAATGTCCAACCTAATCTGACCCATATATGATTAATATATTTTTACAAAAATGTGCGTAAAATCAATAGGACAAGAACTTCAAGAAGGACCTCGTGGGGCAGGTGAATCCCCCAAAATACGAGAAATGCGAGGACATGTCCAATCTGACCTTTTTGAACGACGCCTCTGTCCTGCACAACTTGAGGCAGCGATACTACGCCAGACTTATCTACGTGAGTAATATCGTCATATGTATACTAATAATTTTTTTGTTATTGAACCTATCGATGGTACTTGGTAGTCCATTAAGCCTTATATTTTGAGGAGAGAAATAGTTAGAACAATAATGAGGTAAGCATGTGCGGCATGTCGTAGGGGGAAAAAATTTGCCTATTTTTAGAGACGCTCCAATCTCTTGTCTTCTCGTCTAGTCCGGTCTCATCCTCCATTCTATTTTTAAGCCTTGATTCACTCCATTTCTTTATTCCGTCGGACCGACCCGTACTATTAAACATCGGCGTCGTCCTCGTATAGCTTTTATTGTTCTTCGGATTCTTTGAGATCTCGGGAATTGGGCAGAGAGCCAAGCTTTTTACGGAATGGCGAAAAAATGGTGGAAAACTGGGATAGACTTTGAGATTAAAACGACTGTTCTTGCATTCTTTTCCTAATTTGGATGTAGGCTGAGAGATAGAGATCTCATTCGAGTGGATAATGCTGATGCAAAAATAAATCATAAATGCTTTTAGTTATGATGTGATGATGCATATTATTTATAATTTGTAATATTTTCTCCCTGATAATGTACACAGACCTACTCTGGCCTCTTCTGTATCGCCGTCAACCCGTACGTCCGATTTCCCATCTACACCCCTCGTGCCATGAAAATCTACCAGGGCAAGCGACGTAATGAAGTCCCACCTCACATTTTCGCCATTGCTGAGGGAGCTTACCAAAACATGTTGCAAGGTTATCATCACAAGGCATAATATTCAAAAGAACAATTCATTAATGATATGTAATGATTACCACAGATCATGAAAATCAGTCCATCTTGATTACCGGAGGTAATTATTCATTTTTTAAATTGGTTGTTTTACTCTAATAAAGGTCAAATAACAAATAATAATGAAAGATGAGTAATAAGGAATTATTTCCAGAATCTGGTGCCGGAAAGACAGAAAACACCAAGAAGGTTATTGCCTATTTCGCCAACGTTGCCTCTTCTGGCAAGGCTTCGGACTCCAAGAAAGTGTCCCTTGAAGATCAAATTGTCCAAACTAATCCTGTCCTCGAGTCTTTTGGTAACGCCAAGACCACGCGTAATGACAACTCGTGAGTGATTATCTTGACCTGGTCTACGTTCTTCATAAAATCTAGTATACATTCCATTACATTTTTGGTTTCCATTTCCAGTTCCCGTTTCGGTAAGTTCATCCGTATCCATTTCGGACCCTCTGGCAAACTTGCCGGTGCTGATATTGAGTCCTACCTGTTGGAGAAGGTATAAAAACTCTTGAGATGCATGGGATAAGGAAATTGTACTAACAAATTTGAATAATGAGTAAGAATGAATTAGTGCATTGATAAGTATTAAACATATAGACAAAGTATATTCTAACTGCATATATCTACTATTAATTTTATTGAGAATACCGGAAACGAAAACCAACAATCAGTGTCATAAAACTAAATAACAAATTAATCATAAGTTATTGAGCACCGTATGAAGGTTTCTGCTGTAATTTCAGAAGAATCGATGCGTTCCTCTTATACATATGTTTAATCACATTGAACTGGTTTCGGTTCACTTTCTCCAAATGTTTCACTCGGTCCTCTAACTGTTTTACTTTGGCTAGAGCTTCGGCTAGTTTATCTCCTTCAGACTTTTTTTGATCCACTTCCTCTATCATTGGTTCATCATCAATGGTTATAGAAGGTCCACCAGCGACATGCGCTGGTGGTGGTTCGAAAATATTTGAGCCAAATCGGTTACTGGGTGAAGGAACTTTGCGAACTTTAATGTTTTTAAACGTTCTGAGTTGTATCCCATCTCGTTTTTCTGCATGCATAGAAATTCATAACTTTCTAAATTCATAAATTTTTGTTTTCATCTAGGAGATGAAATATAACGGTAAAATTTGACGAGGAAGGGTCAACTTACTGTTGCCAGTGAGCACTGCTGGTATTTCTTGACGGACTAATTTACTAAAGTTCGACAAAGTCATTACATTCTCAGGTGCAACATTTCGTTCATACATATCATGGAGGTCTTGAACAAAAGCTATTGATCCATCAAGTTTTACAAGATTTGTTTTTATCCATTCCGATGCGATCGAAGTACTGGTTGATCTTGCCAACTGGCCTGATCCAGGTGGAACATATGCAACTGGAGTTAGAGCGGGTCGAGGTCCGGCCGCAGGCATCTTCTTTCCACATCTTCTCATTTCTATAAGATTAACTATGTAGTATTGACTACCTAATATTGCTGAGCAAATAGTGTGCTTATTACCGTCTAGGTACCGTTTAGCCAAATCCTTCCACATTTTTCGTCTTAGAATGGGTGGGAATGGGTCTTCCTCCAATCTTAACCTGATATCATCAAGGTGGCTTACAAGTTCGGGGATTTTGCCTAAATGATCCATTAGTTTTTTGGCGTGCGGACGTAATAACGGCAAGCACTCGGAGGGCATCAAAACTGCTAATGAGTCGAGTATATCCCTTAACCCACATTTCGTCCAAAAAGCTTTTTGTCGAGATGAGCAATATATTTTCAAGGACTTGACTCTTTCTGTCCACATCGCTTTCAGTAGGTCTCTAAATTAAATTCTCGTGTATTAGTTATATTGTTATAAATCAAGCATTTAGGATACGTACGTGATAATTTAAAAACGTACCGTAGGCTGCACCCGAAACACAGATATCCGTTTTCAATATCACATTTTTGCATACAATACGATTTAATAGTTGAGCAGGCACTCTGGATTGTCTTACTTTTACTAGTAAATGCTACTCCTAAGTCCCCCGTAAGTTGATTAGACTCATCACTCCAAACCCAGAGATATAGAACATAATCTGTCACAAAAATAAACCTTTTCAAGTAAAGCATGGTTATTATTTTCTTAGAAACAATCTTTTGTTTAACCAACTCGCCTGTCGATGGAGTTTCGGATTGGAGACCGAACCAGAGACCATCTTCTATGGACACACAATTGAAAGTTGTATCAGGGGGAGGATTATCAATAATATCCATGTTGGATTAAAATCAGATTGTTTGACTTTTTCAACTTTTGGTCAATGAGTGAATTAGGAAGCAGCTGGTTTTCACACATTTACCGCGTATCTTATGGGTTGATGCAATATATTTTGTGTGAATATTGCATATTAAAAATATGAATACATTGTCTGCATATTTTAGGCTCGAGTCATCTCCCAGATGTCACAGGAACGGTAAACAAACGCGTTCACTTAGTCAATGACTTTAACTTTGCAATTTATGTATCTTAATGATTCTATGTTTTTCTTAGTTGTTACCACATCTTCTACCAGCTCATGTCTCCCAATTGTGTATGTATTTTAATTATAATTTGATGACATAAATTATAGTGGATAATTACACTTTCCCTATTTTTGTAACTTTCAGAACAAGGCCGGAGTTAAATGTTGGTCCACAATTAATTGATCAATATTGCTAATTTTTCTATAAAATGTCAGTTTGTGAAATATGTAAAACTTTGTTTCTTCTCTCTTCCAGCCATGTGTCTGTTGGGTGATGATATTTACAAGTAAAAATACTTTTATAAATTTTCATGAAACGTGAACCCATATTTCATACACATCAAATAATGCAACTTTTCAATTTATTTCAGATATCATTACTGCTCTCAAGGGTAAGTTTGATAAATCCATTTCCTGTACTGTTCGGTTAATCGCATTAAATTTAATGTCTATATTTTGATCTTTAGAAAAGTCACTGTCCCCTCCATTGGTAAGTGTACCTACTTGCAAAATAGTTTTTAAATACAAATTAATAATGGACGCGGATGAATAATATTGGAAACATATCTCTAATTTCAGATGACAGTGAAGAGTTTGCCGGTAAATACATACATCGACTTGATTAGTTCCTAAGATTTGTCATAAATGTATTATAAAATTGTAAAACTTTCTCTTTTCTTCCAGCAACTCACGAGGCTTTCGAAATCCTTTTGTTCACTGATGAAGAACGAGCCAACATTTACCGCATTACTGCTGCCGTAATGCACATGGGAGAGCTCAAGTTTGAACAGAAAGGTCGAGATGGTATGTGATCCTGATTTTATTAAGATAACGTAAAATGTATAAATATTTAAGTGAAGAGGGCACAATAATTGATGGGATATTTTAATTTGCGTTAAACAGAACAGGCCATGCAGGCAGAAGAGGAAGAAGGTGCTGCTACCGGAAAACTTCTCGGAATTGACGGTGAGATTTTGTACATCAACATTTGCAAGCCCAGGATCAAGGTCGGAACCGAGTTCGTCACCAAGGGACAAAACGTTCAACAATGTAACGCTACCTGTGGTGCCCTCGCCAAGTCCATGTTTGATCGTCTCTTCAAGTAATAATAATATAAATATAGATAACTATTCGTTATCTTATCTGGAGGCAGAATTTTCACATATTTACCTAATTTTACACAGGTTCCTTGTGAAGAAATGTAATGAAACTTTGGACACCAAACAAAATCGGGTAATTGGATTCTCTGATGCATTCGTTCGATTTACATTCGTAAAGCGTCTGACAACAAATTTTTATTATTGATATAGGCCTCTTTCTCCGCTGTGTTGGATATTGCCGGATTCGAAATCTTTGAAGAGAACGGATTCGATCAGCTTTGCATCAACTTCACCAATGAGAAATTGCAACAGTTTTTCAACCATCACATGTTCGTCCTCGAGCAGGTAAGGAATTGTTGAAATGATGTGAACTATATGTATAATATGTTAATAATTCATACACATTTATCATTTTATAACTTTAGGAAGAGTACAAGAAAGAAGGTCTTGACTGGGTAAGTGAACTCGAATTATTTAATTCATTTAATTGGATCTGTATTTAGTATTTTTATTATTTCTTATTTTTTTCGATCAAAGATCTTTGAGGATTTCGGTATGGACTTGCAAGCTACCATCACACTTTTCGAGCAGGTGAGGGGGCATTCCTTCTGTTTATATGAAGATTCAGCAATTAATAAATCCTAATTAATTAATTACATTCTATAGCCTATGGGAGTCTTCTCCATTCTTGAGGAAGAGTCTATGTTCCCCAAAGGTGATTACTTTGATAATCCAAATTTTTAAACTCGCCACAACTAAATTCTAAATTTTTAATTAGCCACTGACCAAACGTTCATCGAAAAGTTGAAGAGCAACCATTTGGGCAAGTCCAACTGCTTCTTGAAACCCAAACCACCAAAGCCAGGTTTCAAGGAGGGTCATTTTGCCGTTGCCCATTACGCCGGTACCGTCACGTACAACATTACCGGATGGCTCGAGAAGAACAAGGATCCCCTCAACGACACCGTGGTTGACCAATACAAGAAGGGAGGCAACGCCTTGATTTGCGAACTCTACTCTGATCATCCTGGTAATTTGAGATTATTAATGCATTTATTGAGAAATAATCAAGAATATTTTTGTAACGCTAAAAATACGTTAATTATTCTCCAGGTCAGTCCGAGGAGGCTGGTGGCAAAGGTATAAACACGAAAAAAGAACTCGTAAAATACATTTGTCTCGTGTAATCGTAAACGCTCAGCAGATACACGTTCAATGATGTTAATGATAATGCTCATGTTTTTTTAATTGGGGTGCATCTAAATATATTGGTACGATGTTGATGATAATGGGGTTGACTTAATTAACTCTAGGTGGTGGGGGTGGCAAAAAGAAGGGTGGATTCAAGACCGTATCTTCCGGCTACAGGGTCAATATTTATACAATTTAGACGAGCAGGGTGCCCCTTATTTATTTGAGAGTTGTTTTATCAATTCTACTTACCCACGTACACCAAAGTACCCCTCTTCTTACCCACACACCCTGATATTTTGTACCCTCGCCATACATATGTATTTACCGTAGCCCTTGCGTGATTACCTTTGACCCTGATACCACACGGCATGAATCGCTCTGAATATTTTGATGATATGAATGAAACCTATTCACTTGTTGTGGACGCAGTAAAATTGTCCTAGAATGTGAACCTTTCCATACTCTTTGTTTCCCTCGTGTTGTATTTTTTTAGAAATTATTTCTCAGTCAGCAACTAATCTTTTTTTAATTCCGTACCATTTTCAGGAGCAACTTGGCAACTTGATGGCCACCTTGAAAGCTACTCATCCCCATTTCATTCGATGCATTGTGCCCAACGAGATCAAAAAGCCAGGTAAATTTTTAATAGCTTTTATGTAAAAATAATCGAGGTGCATTATCTGAATCTTTCTTCTTCCATTTTGCTAGGTTTGGTTGACGCTGCTCTTGTTATGCACCAGCTCACTTGTAATGGTGTGCTTGAAGGCATTCGTATTTGCAGAAAGGGTTAGTTGTTACTCATAAATTAGAATTTCGACAATTGTTCTCCACAGATTAATAGAAAAAGTGTCAATTTTTTACAGGTTTTCCCAACAGGATGCTGTATCCTGATTTCAAACACAGGTATGGAATGGATCTCATATCTCCTGATTACACGAGAAGAGGTCAAATAATTACTTTTTAAAATCCAGATACGCAATCCTGGCTTCGGCTCAGATGGCTGCGGAAAAAGAGGACAAAAAAATTGCTGTCGCTTGCTTCGAGACGATCGGGCTGAACGCTGACAAATACCGAGTCGGTCACACCAAAGTATTCTTCAGGGCTGGAGTTCTCGGAGAGATGGAGGAAATTCGTGACGACAAGCTGGGCAAAATCATCACCTGGCTTCAAGCCCAAGTCCGCAAGTACAACGTGGCCAAAGCTTACCGTACTCTCGAGAAGCAACGCAAAGCTCTCGAAGTTGTGCAACGTTCTCTGAAATCCTACGTCAATCTTCGGTAAGATATTAGTACAGATATATATTCGTCTCGTTTGTGATCACGTTATTTAACTTAACTGTACGACGTATCTACAGTTGCTGGCCATGGTGGGGACTCTGGAAACTGATCAAGCCTAATCTTCAAACATGCAAGATTGAAGAAAACATGAAAAAGGCCGAAGTTAAGATTGGTTAGTAATTTTAATTAATAAGTATTTTTACATTGTCTCAAAATTTGTTTTGAAATTTTTCAGCCAAGTTTGAAGCCATCCTAGTTGAAGAGGAGAAGGCCCGTGCTGAAGCGGAAAAGAAGGCAAAGCACACCATCCACGAGAAGGACAAGCTGTTGAAGGAATTGGACGAGGAGAAAAATGCCGGTTCCAACTTCCAAGAAAGATTCAACAAGATCAACGCTCAGAAGAACGAACTCGACGCTCAACTTAACGACCTGACCAACCGTGTGCAGAGTGAGGAAGATCAGAAAAACCAGATTCAACAACAACTCCGCAAACAACAACAAGACCTCGCCAACACGAAGAAGGAGTTGGAAGAGAATGCCAAAAGCTTGGAGAAATTGGATGCTGACAAAGTCGCGAAAGAGGGTCAAATCAAGAACTTGAATGAAGAGCTCGCCCACCAGGAGGAACTCATTTCTAAGCTGCAAAAGGAGAAGAAACAGGTGCAAGAGGCTGCTCAACACACGTCCGAAGATGTCCAAGCTCTCGAGGACAAAGTCAACGGTTTGAACAAAATCAAAACCAAGTTGGAACGATCATTGGACGAGTTGGAGGACTCGCTCGAACGAGAAAAGAAACTTCGTGGTGATATTGAAAAAGCTAAGCGCAAGGTAAATCATACCTTACTAATTTTATCCAATCTACATATAGTCAAAGGTAGTTGAGTTTCTCATCACTGTTTTTTTTATATAAAAAGGTTGAAGGTGACCTGAAAATCGCGCAAGAGGCCGTCGCCGATTTGGAAAGAAACAAGAAGGATGTTGAGCAAACGGTTCAACGAAAAGATAAGGAAATCTCATCCCTCACCGCCAAATTGGAAGAAGAACAAGGGCTCATTGCTAAACTTCAACGTCAAATCAAGGAGTTGCAAGCTCGCATTGAAGAACTTGACGAGGAGCTTGAAGCTGAGCGCATCGCTCGTGCCAAAGCTGAATCCCAAAGGTCCAACCTTGCCAGAGAATTGGAAGAACTTGGTTCCCGATTGGAAGAAGCCGGCTCTGCGACCTCCGGACAGATCGAACTCAACAAGAAGCGTGAAGCTGAACTCGCCAAGTTGCGCCGTGAACTGGAAGAGACCAACGTTCAACATGAAGCCAGCATGGCCGGTCTGCGCAAGAAGCACAACGACGCCGGTAAGAATGATAACGATTTAAACGATTGTATTATGTGGGATATGTTAACTGTGAATTGGGCGGAATAATTTCAGTCGCCGAGATGGCCGAACAAATCGACAACCTTAACAAGATGAAGGCCAAGGCAGAGAAGGTAAGGTTCAGAGTTTTAACATACCAATTGAATTCATCTTCAATCCTTGTTTAATTTAATATAATTTCATTCATTTAAATTAATCTAAGGATCGATCACAAATCGCAACCGAGTTGAACGACTCTCGTGCCGCTATGGACCACCTCGTCAACGACAAAGCCGGACAGGAGAAGCTCGGAAAACACTTGCAACACCAAATGGGTACATATTTATTTTCTAACTTACTTAAATTGATTTAATTTCTCCCGGCCCACCAACACGAAACCTAATTCCGTAATCTTTCAGCTGAGATTCAAGGACGATATGAAGAGGTCGCCAGGAATGTGAACGAGGTTGACCAGACCAAGAAACGCCTCGCTTTGGAGAATACCGACATGGCGCGACAAATCGAGGAAGCCGAGAGCAATCTGTCCGCTCTGGGCAAACTCAAGGTTTCTCTCGCCACGCAGCTTGAGGACACCAAGAGACTCGCGGACGAGGAGGGACGCGAGAGGTATGATATTTATCCCACGTAAGATATATATGCACAGATATCATCATGTTCTTTCTTTAGGGCCACCCTTTTGGGCAAATACCGAAACGTGGAGCACGACTTGGACCTTCTCCGAGAACAATTGGATGAAGAAGCCGAAGCCAAGAGTGAAATTCAGAAGCAGTTGAGCCGAGCCAATGCGGAGGCGCAATTGTGGAGGACGAAATATGAGAACGAGGGTGTCGCCAGGATTGAGGAGTTGGAGGAAGCAAAGTAACAACAATTTCATTTATTTTGAAGTTTTGGTTCGTTACATTTATTTTCACTGATTTCAGACGCAAGCTCCTCGCTCGTCTCCAAGAAGCCGAAGAAACCATCGAATCTCTCAACGTCAAGTCTATCGCCCTTGAGAAGACCAAGCAACGTCTCTCGTCCCAACTTGAAGACATGGTACGAAATAGTTTATTATATAGCCTTTATGGACCTCTTAATTCATGTCTATAATATTTTGCAGACCTCGGAAGTCGACCGCTCTCGCGCTCTCGTCATCCAACTTGAGAAGAAGCAAAAGTACTTTGACAAGATCATTGACGAATGGAAGGCCAAGGTTGGAGATTTGCAATCCGAGGTTGACGCATCCCAGAAGGAGGCTCGATCCTACGCCACCGAAGTTTTCCGCATTCGTGCCGCCTACGAACAAGAGCAAGAACAACTTGACGCCGTCAAACGCGAGAACAAGAACTTGGCAGATGAAATCAAGGATCTCTTTGACCAAATCGGAGAAGGAGGCCGAAACGTCCATGAGATTGAGAAGGCAAGAAATCGTCTCCAAATCGAGAAGGAAGAACTCCAATCTGCTCTCGAAGAAGCTGAAGCTGCCTTCGAACAAGAAGAGAACAAAGTACTTCGCGTTCAACTCGAGCTTTCCCAAGGTATGTATATCTTGCACTGATTTGAAGTGACGATTCTACTATTAATTTAAATAATTATAGTGCGACAAGAGATTGATCGACGCATTCAAGAGAAGGAGGAAGAGTTCGAAAACACTCGCAAGAACCAACAGCGTGCCCTTGACTCGATGCAGGTACGTACAAGTCTTGCGGCAAAACCGAAACCTATTTTTTCGTATTGAATGCATAATTTCTTATACTTATCTATTAATAACTTCGTAGGCATCTCTGGAGGCCGAGAGCAAAGGAAAGCAAGAAGCACTCCGAGTCAAGAAGAAGTTGGAGACGGACATTAACGAGTTGGAAATTGCGTTGGACCACGCCAACAAGACCAATGCTGAGGCGAGCAAGACCATCAAGCGATACTTGCAACAACTCAAGGTATGTAATTTTTATATAAATATTGACTTTGACAGAGTACGTAAATTTCACTATTTTTTTCGGACTATTCGCAGGAGACCCAATCCCTCCTCGAGGAAGAACAACGTGCCCGTGACGAGGCAAGGGAAGCATACGGAATTGCAGAACGACGAGCAAACGCCTTCTCCAACGAGCTTGACGAGTCACGAACCCTTCTCGAACAAGCCGACCGAGCGCGACGATGTGCCGAACAGGAATTGCACGATGCTCGAGATCAAATCAACGAACTTGGCAACCAAACCTCAATCTTGGGTGGAATCAAGCGTCAATTGGACTCTCAGTTGCAGACGATGCATGTATGCAAATAGGGCACAAAATTAGGTCGTGGTATTTAAATAGTTTTATTAGTGTTAAAATTCTTATCTTGTGTGCAGGCTGACTTGGAGGCGATCTTGAATGAAGCCAAGAATTCTGAAGAGAAGGCAAAGAAGGCCATGGTGGATGCAGGTAAGCAAAGAATATACCATGAAATAAGCAAACAATACTGTTTTGACAAAGATAAATGGTGGTGAATGTTAAATATTGTGCCCCGACAATTTGGTTTTTTAAAAGATTAACATTGTTTCGTTTAATGGTAGCCCGTCTCGCTGACGAACTTCGCATGGAACAAGAACACGCACAGAGCCAAGAACGTGCCCGCAAGGGACTCGAGGTCACCATGAAGGACCTGCAAGGACGATTGGAAGAAGCAGAACAGAGCATCCTCAAAGGAGGTACGTCCGCCACGAACTATTCTCGTACACAAATTTATTTTAACTTATCCCCTCTTCCTTCTCTCCACAGGGCGTAAACAAATCGCCAAGTTGGAGGAACGCGTCCGACTCATTGAAACCGAGCTCGACTCTGAACAACGTCGCCACTCTGAGGCACAAAAGAACATGCGACGAGCTGAGCGACGATGCAAAGAATTGTCCTTCCAAGCCGAGGAAGACCGCAAGAACCACGAAAAGATGCAAGACCTCGTGGAGAAGTTGCAACAGAAGATCAAGACTTACAAGAGACAGATTGAAGAGGCGGTAAGGAATTGACAAATTGCATAAATACATCATAATAAAATTCTGTAGTTCTAATTTCGCACTCTTATCTAATTTCAGGAAGAGGTAGCTGCTCTCAATCTTGGTAAGGATGCGGATTATGTTATTCACTCTTTAGAACTCCAGTCTCATTCTCATTATTAACGATGCAACTTTTTTTTACCCTTCTCTGCAGCTAAGTTCCGTAAAGCACAACAGGAGTACGAAGAGGTTGAGGAACGCAATGACTTGGCTGAGGGTAAGCCATAAAGAAAATTGTGAAAATGTAGGTACAACATTTTTACAAATATATGCCTGATTTTGCAGCTGCCTTGAGCAAGGTCCGACCCGGACCGCTTCCAAGGGGCCGCCCAGCGTCCATGGCACGAGGAATGAGCCCATTTTAAATGTAAGTGTACATTCACAATCTAAGAATTTCGGAACATTTTTTATTTATTTTATTTTTCCAGGTAAAAATCGGTAAATATGATGGGACAGCTACTTAGCTACTACCTCCTCTCTGTATATTTGTTCTTCACTGAACAACTTTCCATCGTTTCTACCCACAATCTCTCTGTCTGCTATCTACACACCCTACTCTTTCAACCTCTGAGGAAATTATCGCCACTCAGCCCACGCCCTCTTCTCACCCTCCTCCCACTGCTGCGAGTAACAAAAGACACGACGGACTAATACATGAATTGAGAGCAGGATGAGGAATGGGTCAAGTTGATGGTGCTAATTCCGGATGACAATACTTTCTTTGTACCGTCTGTCGTAAATATAAACTGTCCATGTTTTCACTCTTGTTGACTAATCTTTTCGTGTAGGGTACAACTGCATCTCTCTCTCTCTGTCTCTTCTCTAGAGTTAAGTATATCTCGTATAGATCTAAATACTATCACTAACTTCTTCTTCATTAGAGAGCAACTAGACGTTCTTCTATAGCGACTCTTCTACTATACCCAGAGTGATGATTAATGTATGTAATTCTGTAAAAATACTGGAATAATAAAGTTGCAAACTCGATAAAAAATATTTTACAGCAATGTGAGAATAAACTCATTTTATTTTAACTCGGTGAGTAATAAAATTACAAAGAAAGTTGCATTTGAGTTGATTTGGATGACATTATATAGCAATTTTTAGTGTAGTTATATAACGAAGAAGACCTGATAATATGTAAGCTGCTCTTTTCGGAATTATTCTTTTCAGCATGATAAAGGTGGGAAGGTGCATACCACGTAATTTAATTAATCATAGTTATTGTATTAGCATTTGTAACCAAAGCATGATAACTGTCGACTGATGTCGCTACGCCACCCCAACCATTTTCGTGTTGCCTCCTGCAATGCCTGCCTTCTCCTTTTCCAACTGTCTCCTCTTCACATCCCAGTTAAAGATTCTGGCCATGTTCACTTCTAAAGTGGTAATACTCTCGCGCAAAGAGTCGATAAGGACGTTCGTCATTTCCAAACTCTTTTCAGCTTTCTGATTCTTCGCCTTCAGCAGAGCTTCGCCCTCCTCTAGACTGTATTCAAGCATCACGCTTGCCTGTAGGAAAAAATGGTGGAAACATTACATACAATTCCCATTTTCTAGGCTTATCATAATCTGGTTTGACTTACGCCCAACCATAACCCAATCTTATCCGCGGGCGGAATTGTCGCTTGCGCAAAGACATGGTCAGCCAGTCGAAACTGTGTCGTCATTGCAGCTCCTTCATCCCGTCGTCGTTTCAGCTCAGCCAGCATTTTTAAACTGTTGTCAAACTCGGCGAGTTGGGTGTTCAATCTGAAAAAATACGTATTTAAATTATTAACATGTAATCGTTTTAAAATATATAAAACCTATATTTTAAAACCTATAAAACCAACTATGTACCTCCTCTTCGTGTTGACATTGTTCGCTTCAGACATTTTCAGCTTGCTGTACGTTTCTTCCAACCTCCTGAGAACATTTTGAGCATTATTATCGTTTTCGGGCTCTGCCATGAAGGCATCAACGTCCGAAACAAATTCAACAGATGTTAAAGACATGACGGAATTGCTGGTGTCGAGAGACGCCGCTCCCTCATCCGAAGTAGTAGAATTCGACATGGCGTAGTAGGTTATTCAAAAAAACTACTAAATGTATATAAAACTTAACACGTACAGTACAACTTAAAATTAATTATGTCCAAACTTTGAAGGATGTCACCAATCTCAAGCGATGAGTGCTGCAAAATAACAACAAAATATTCTATAATTATTATTTCATAATTCGAAATCAGTCAAACTAAATGTTTTAACTAAAATTAGTATTTATTTTTATTTGCCACGTTTTAGCACCTGTTTTAAAAACATTCACCAAAATATCATTATTTGGCAAAAAGCTTACAAAAAATTGAATAACTTCTTCTCACCTTGTAAACTGTTTGAACTTTGGAACTTTTGAGCAATTTGTGAATTATTAAAGGTGAAATTAATTAAAGTTAATGACGAAGGAGAAACAATGCTGCCTTGCCCATAAAAAAGTTGAGCCGGTCTGATCCCGGGGTCGCCTCGTTGCTGTGAGACACGACTTTTCATCGCCCGAATGCATTCACTTTTCTATGCACTTTTTCTCCGGAAAAAAAGTTTGTTCGATAACACGACTCATTTGTCATCTCAGAATTCGTCACTTATCGAAATTTGAAAACTTACAGCAAAAATTTTGCTTATCATCATGGTTCGACTTCACGTAAAGTGCGGGGACGAGTCCCACTTTCTCTTCGACACGACCGTCACCACACCCACGGACGTTTTGATTCCGCAAATCCTAGAGATTTATCATGCTCGGCTGAAAGTATTCCGGATTTGTTCAGGTAAACAGAAGATAATTCTAAGTTTAAGTACAATTAATTATCATATGGACATATCATATTTGCAGCAATTGAAGAGTTGGCCGCTCATGGGACCGCTCTCCCTCCGAATATTGTTGGACTCACGGATGAGCAGGTAATTACTTAGATAAAAATTTCTTATTAAAGTAAATGAAAAGGCAGTCAAGTAAATGATTTCCACTGCAGGTCGAGGAATTAAAATTGGTGGATGAATGGGGTGAGATTTGCCTGCCCAGTGGTGGATTCACACTCGAAAAAGACCCCATTGGGCGTCGTAACGGAAAGAAACCGAATCCTAACATGGTCAAGGTTCTCCTCAAAACGGTGTCTGAAGCCAAGGATGCAATTTCAAAGGTTAATTAGTCAAAAGACATGCATAATTTTTTATTAATTATTAAATGCACGCTCTTCTCTGTTCATCTTCAGAATCTCGCCCAGTCCGGCACCCCACTAACTTTCTCCGTCGTCAAAGAGCAGTTGAGCCTCCTCTCGGGGGCCGTGACCATCGTGTATCCAATGTCCCTCCCACCTCATGACCCGATCCGGATGGAGTTCGAAGGACGGGAAGAACTCGAGGGGACGCACGACTCTTTGGCCGTCATGTCGGAAGCCCAACTTTGGTTTTGTGGGAAGGAGATCACCCCACAAAAGCTGCTCTCTGATTTTACCGGCAAAAACGACAAGACCAAAGTAGTGGTCAAGCTGTCCAAGAAAGGGAACGGTCCACCCGGAAGGGAACCCGTCTTGTCGGAAGACGACCGGAAAGAATTGATGCTCCATGCTTATCGGAAACAACAGGAAGCCAAGGTAAGTACAAAAACTCTTTATCTTACTTATGCACCATCCTAATAAGCGACACACACACAGCATGAAATGAAAATTATGCCAAAAACGCTCCTTTTTGTCTCGTCTTTTATCATTTTATTAGTATTTGCTTCCTCTTTTCTCTCTCGCTTATTCCATATACATATTTAAGTACAGCATAAATTATCATCGTAGGTTCTTCATGGTTTTTGTAATACAAAAGCGTGTAACATGATCACGGGATATCAATCATCATCACTTATCTGTAGTAGCTGTTAGTTTTTTTTCAGGATTTAAGGTCTAGCTGTGGTATCAGCAAAGTAAATAAATTAGTTTTATTTAATTTATGATGTAATGTGTGATTTTGGAGGATTATTTATGATTGGTTGGTTCTCAAGAACAAAAGACCATACGCATTTTATTTTTGTGTATAAAGCTGTATGTATATTGTGACTGCTTCCAAAATTTTCTTCGTTTTTGATGGGTGGGTTAAAAGGTTTACGAATATGGCGGAGTGTCTGTAACAATTAATTAACGAGTTTTCGACTATACATCGTCATTAAACTATTACTATTTAATTAGTAATTAGTTTCATTACTGCTGCAAGTTAGTAGTTGTTAGTAGTTGAAATAAAAAGCTATGTATCTTTCTCTCCTATTAATTTGTAATTTTGTAGCATTTAGTAATTATTAGTACCATTGTTCCAGACCGCAATATCGCGCATTCGATTTTTGGTCTCGATTTTTTATAAATCCAGCAGAATTTAATTTCACATTTTTTTTACGACCAGGCGATCCACGCGTGGACTTTCTTTCTTTCAATAAATACTTTCTCTTAGCACTTGGTATCAATCCAATGTTAACTTTCTTCAATAATATTTGTCCGTGGTTTTTGCATTTATGTATAAGATTTCTCTCCCTAAATTCTGGGTTAGTTAGTTATTTAGTAGTGGAGGCTATGTTTACTTTTACAATTTCTTAGTACATCTGAAGTTGAAGTATTTACATACATTTTATTTATAAATATTTCAAGATATGGCTCAGCGGAAGTGGAACAAGAAGGAAATTATAAAGATTATTAGAAAGAAAAAAGAGGAAACTACTTATTAATCTATTTTTGCTATGGTAGAAATCGTTGTATATTTTTGTAAGGTATTTTTTATGTGGGTGGTGGTGACTGCTTCTGTTCAGGTGGGTGGGTGAGGCGATAAAGAGAAAAGTTCTCTTAATAAAGGTGGGTTCACTCTTTGGTAACTTGCGCCAATGTTATAATTTAACTATGGCGCAAGTGACCAAGGAGTGAAGTCGACCTTTGTGTATTTTGGTAGGAGTGGAAAAATCACAATCTCAACTTCATATCATACTTTTTCACTATTTTTAATGTACAGCTTTCTCTTCTGCTTTCACCAACCAAACCGCTGACTGACTGACCTTCAGTCATATTTTATTATGCGCGAGCATGTATAAAAGCGACCTCGCCCTCTATTTTCTAAAACGGAAAAAGTCTTTTTTAACTGCTAAGTATTTACATATTTTATCCGCGTCAAAAATTGGTTCAAATTAAAATTCGAAATAATTATAGCTCTGTTCTTGTTTTCTTTTACTATGTCCATACACAACTAGCTAAACGTTAATTAGTTGCGTGTAAGTAAAGAAGTCTTAATATTTTGCTAGTTAATTATGCATATAGTTGGTTTTGCATTTTTCTTAAAATTCAGCTACTTACATAGAAAAATCCCTTGTATTGTTAACGAGGTGTGCGAATGCGGAGGAAAGTTGATGACTTTCTCCTTCCGTTTAGTTTTTTGAGGTACTTACTGCATTACAATTGCGACGAATTGTTGTGATTGATGAATGATGATTATATAGATTCGGAAAAGAAATTAAGTAATTAAAAATTAGAGCTAATTGCATAATTAATTATGGCGATGATCATAACAGGTAGTAAAATCTAGTAGTTGTACATACATATTAAATAAGTGGCATATATAAGTAATTGTAAGTGGGTGGAGTCCGCTGGACTGGATTATTTAAAAATTGCATAATAATTGTGTATATATTGCGCATCGTCCATATTTATAAGAAATTGGAGAGAGTGTAAAATTCCCTCGTTTTGTGGCGGTGGTATTTTTTTCTGTGGGTGGGTGTGACTATATGTACCTACATCCATGTAGTTTTGGTGTTGGTGTTTTCGTGTGTCTGATGAGGAAACGTGGTATAAAATCATGTCTTGATATAATAAGCTATATGAAATTGTAGTAATAATTCTTGTCGTGGCTTCCTTTATGCCTCTACATATTCTCACTTTTGGTCGATTGTGTCCTCATTGTGATGATGGATGGGTTATGTTGTTGAATGGGTGTGTAGCTAAACAGTGCTAGCTAGACGGTGGACTTGTCCCTTTCTCTCTAAAGTGGGGGGAAGGGGGGTTCTCGGGTTATAGCTTCCTCGCTCGGGCTGTCCCCTTATTGTTGCTCCCCCCGTTGTTGTTGTTGTGGTTGTTCAGAATTCGTGGATTGAGCCGTGGGGGCGGAGATGGGGGCGACTGCCAACTGCAAATTACAAGTTAATGAATTAAATATGTCGAAAAAATTGTCATTTTTTTTAAATAGTTGGACAAAACTCATTTAGTTTGCCTAACTACATAGTTTGGCCTTAAATAACTTTTGAATATGCGGACATAGATTTATTCTTTAGGTGAAATAATCCTAATTTTAAGCTTGATTTTTATGCTAAAAATCTCGCTTTCGAAAATTAAACGCTTTTTGCTTTCTTCAAATACAAATTTAAATCTAATTTCGTTTGGAAACAATTCATGTGTCGCAGCATGTAGAGAATGATAAGGTGTCAAACAATATTGGTATTATGGGGGATGGGACAGGCTATTGCGTTAAAAAGTAGGTATAACCAGTTACGAGGGAGGGAAGGGTAAAAAATCGCCAATTTGACCTTTCGTATTTTATGAACTCCTGGTTTATTTTGAAGCATTTACGTACCCGTCATCCATCGAGTTAACGCTGGACAAAGTCGTGTCTCTGGACGAGATTGTGGCGAGCGAGGGTGATCGTTCATGACCTCCCGATGCTCCCACTGCTCCTGCCGCGGCACCCTTGACCCTGGGTTGTTGGACGATTGCACCCGGCGGAAGTGGAGGCGGTGGTGGTGGCGGTGCTCCTCCGTCTGGTCGACTTCTCCTCGAGTTAGACCGCGGGGTGGCTTCTTGCGTGGGTGCGGACTGGTAGCGTGCCCGGCAGGGGCGCTTGTTCTTTCCCCGTTCTTCGCAGCTGGGACAATACCAAAGGGTCAGGATGGAGATGGACACGGCGAAGAGTGACGTGGGGAGGCACAGGGCGATGAGGAGTGGTTGCGCGGTCTCCTCCCAGTTATAATCCGTCACGACGAGGCGTGGGTTCGTGCGGGAGTAGAAACAGGAGAAAGTTCGTCCTTGCTGGAATGGGTTAGATATGTATATGGAGTCATTAGTTTCTGTCTAATTGAGGGTGTCGTCTCCTATTTACTTACCAACCCATACGTGTCGCCGAACTCTTCACACTTGACCCTGGGTGGATATCCGCATCCCTTCGCGTTGACGAGGAGTTGAGTATAAGACACGTCCCAGCGCGATTCGTCCTGTACAATAAATAAATTCACCAATTAATTTCCTTTTCTTAATCATGAGCATCGTTCGTTCACTCACCAGCCAGTCATGCGGGTCAAGAATGGTGTTGTTACTAATTCGTGGCCTGAGCTTGGATCCGGCTCTTCGATAGCTGACGTAAATCTGGTGGCATTGCGACGGTGTGGAGGTGCACCCTTCTCGACAGGACGCCCAGAGGCCGCACTTGCTCAACCCTGTCGCCGAGGTGTAGTCCACTGCAAAAAAAGACGCGTGTTATCACCACACACCGAGTAGATAACGTAACTTGGCTTATCATTGAATTTTTGCCTCACCCGTGACACATATTGCCGGAGAGGGGTCGAAATCGGCCAGCAGGGTGGAGATGGAAGGCTCCACGACCAGTGGGATGAGGAAGAGTAAGGCAAATACGCAGAGAGACGCCACTATTCCCAGAGCGAGAGACACGTAAAACTTGACCTGAATATGGCAAAAAAAGGCAATTAGCGATTCTTCTTGGCATTCTTTTGGTATAGTTCTATCCTTAATTTGTACCTGTTCTGCCAACGACAACGTTTCCGGGACCAACTCGACCTGTTCCTCCCCCGGAAGTTGCGTGGTGGAAGTGAGACCACCCCCTCCACCCGGCGGTGGGACGTGATGACTCGGTAGCGGTTGGGCAATCGAGGCTCGCGTGGCATACGTGTAGGCGGAAAGTGAAGGCTGATTCGGTGGTGCGGAAGAAGGAGGGCGTGACTCTGATATTGTGGCTCTCGACCCGTGGCGGACGTAGCCGTGCCCCCCGCCGCCGCCGTGGTCATCTCCGCCATGCTGCGACGTGCGAGACTCTCTCCGCTGGTGACGATTATTGATTGTCGAGGCTACGCAGCCCACCGCACCCACCATCGCGCTCTCTGTTCCTTATCTAACTCCAAACATAGCCAATATGTATATCCTATTAATTAGCATGATCTATCTAGTTATCGTTCGTATTTAGCAAGTATAATTAAGAGATCAAGAAATTCGCAAGTGAAAGTGAGGTGCAAATTATCCTAGAAAACTCAATTCTGTATGAATTGTAAATATATCTACAACGCCATGATTGCCTCTCCCTCCTCCTTTTCCATCCCACCGGATGGGTCACCCCCACAACAATGGAACGTAAAGTGAGAGTCATCCCCGACATGGATGATCCTCGTGCAAATGACGAGCGTGAGACAGGACACGATCGCCAGAGTGACGGGGACCGTGGATGCTATGAACAACTCGAGAATCGTTCTCATTCTTGAGAACCGGAGGACAACAAAGTCCTGCGGAATCTGAGTGACATTGGGAGAGTAGAAACACTGGAATCTGGACTGGCTTCGCAGATCGCTCCCATCACCGCCGTACTCGGCGTGGAATTTTTCACATTCGTTCAGAATCAGAGTGTTGACCTGTTTTAAAATTGGATGTATAAGTGAAAGGAAACTGGTTTGGTGTTGTATATTTTATGTTAACGTAGGACTCGATGACTCGTTATCAAAATCAGAATGTTTTTAATCATTTCTCCGTTCTGGGAATTTATTTTAAAATTCTGGATGATGAATTTGTAGAGCAAGGAGTCGCCAACTTTTTAAAAATATCAGATTTTGACAGTTTTTGAAGGAGGAAATCTCAAGTTTACATAAGAAGCCTCTAGAAAAGTTCGAGCTCATCGACTTAAAAAACTAAAAAATGTCATCCAGAATTTTAAAATATATTCCCAGAACCGAAAAATTATTAAAAATGTACTAATTTTGACGATTTTTGTCATAAGTCTTACGTTAACTAAATAAAAAAATGTACTCACGCAGCCCTCAAAGTTGATATACAACGGGGTGCTGTTCTTGATAAGGAGAGAATATTCCAACGGGGCGAAAACCCCTTCCGCATCCAGCATCCGATCCCCCGCTTCGCTCGATTCTAAATGACTGCTTAGAATATACGTGATGTTCGTAAAGTTTCCAAAGTGGTCTGGTTCCAGGAGCGTCCCATTAAAGCAGTCCGTCAAGCTCATACTCTTCAATCCCCCCGCGGCCACTCCTCCACCCTCGATCTCAGCCACATTCGTACAGAAGAGCACGAGCATGGGGGGCAGGGCGGAATTGGAGAGGGCCACCTTCCCCCGGGGCCAGACTTCCTGTCCCGTCTCGGCCACCACGGCGCGGTCGCAGGCCATCGTGAATATGATGTCGCCCTGTCGCACGAGGATGTTCTTGGCCCCCGTGCGGATCGAGATGCACCGCTTGTCACACTTGTATGGAGGCAGGATCTTGGCACACACGCCGTACTTGCAGTCGTACAGCCCCTCCAAGTCGGCACAGCTCGTCTTCGTGTTGCATGTCTTGTTCACATCGAGCGTTGTGAGGGTGCAGGCCAGAACGGACGTTAGGTTGCGGCACTGCGCCCCCGTCTTGTCCCCGGTCGCGGAGGATGCCCCCGTCGAACAGTTGTAGATCCCGTGCAGCTCGGAGCACTCGCCTTGAATGCAGCTGCGTAATAGTAAAATTGGATGAAACTCTGAACTGCAGATTATTAGTTGACCTCTCTCTCACCTTTTGACCTCCATTTTCGGATTGATTCCATCGCAATACTTCACATCCACTGCGGAACACTGCTCCAACCGGATGTTCGTCCCGTTCCACCGCACATCGACGAGGATTTGCGTGCAAGAACCGGAACTCTTGGAGAGACACCACTCCCCACACGACCCCCACGAACTTTTCCCATCCACCTCACAATTGGGTATGGATTTGTTCGATATAGTCGTACACATCACTGCGTCCTCGAGAAAGCCAGAGTGCAGGGTGCGGTAGGCTGGCGAATAGATGGCCACGGTCAGATACACGAGCGACACGCAGCTCAGGACTGCGGTCATCTGACAGATGCAGATCGTGTAACAAATCCGCTTTTCGAATGGCGTGTTCATCTTGGCCTGATTTTAATTTAGGTTTCTTCAGTGCAATGACTTTCACTCGCTGAAAATTTGAGATCAAGGTTCTCCAGAAAGATTGTTGTCAACTTTCTCCAGGAAAAAATTACATGGTGGTCGACGAAAGGATGAAGTTACTGCTCAAATTTTGCTTTCTCCCGTGAAATAACTTTCACTCTTTGAAAAATAGGTTTCAACTTTCTCCAAAAAAAAATTACGTACGTGTCAACATGGTGGACTGGATGGGGAAGTGATGAAGTAGTGGTTATATGGATAGCGTAGCAGCGTAGTTGTGGCAGACTTGGTTGCAGTAGTGCTGGGAGATTGGGTGAAAGGAGGTCGGGCGCAGGAGCGGTTGAGTGGCAGGCTTATAGGGGACAAAAGATAGCGCATTATGTTGTTCAGCCTAATCAATACTTGGGCTCGGCTCGCTTTGGTTTGGCTCAGTTTTTCCTGCTTTCACCCACTGCTCCAGTTCAGTCAATGGATTGATGGAGTCGAATGGCCACGGTTCCACCGACCGACTTTGCTTGTACACACTCATTCCCACTTGGTCCTGTCTACTTATCACAGCTGCACTGTGTATACTGCTCTCGTCGGTCGTGTGGCGTTGCTTGGTCTCGCTGATGATATCTCGGGCTGCATATGTATGAATTGTGTGGTGTGGTGTGGACGTAATGATAATTATGGGGTTCCTAAACCAACACTGCCAATCAAACCAGCACCACTACTTCCCTCTTCCTTTGGGTGGGAGAAAATTCACCAGATTTGGCCAATATTTGCGAAAGTAGTTATCTCTGCGTGAATGTATGAATTAAGTTTGTTGACGAGAAGATAAGTGGCGATTATGATGACGATGAGGATGATTTGGTGGTGTGTGACCAAGGTTAGAGAATTATGCTGAGGACAAAATGTCAAATACTGGATATTTATGTAAATATTTCTTCAGTTTGGTACTTGAATGTTGACTTTTTCTCCGGTTATCGAAGTGTTCGGATAGTTGCCGACTGATGTGATTCCGATGTCGGAAATCTTGTTGCGTTGTTGTTAATTTGCATGTTTTACCGGAAGTAAATACATGTGCAGTCAAAGAGTTTATTGGTTTTCTATGGGCATCATGTTTTTCATTTTTCTGGAGATGAAGTTAAACTCCTTAAATTTTTTGCAAGGATGCTAGATTTGTCGATATTGTTGGTCGCGATCAGTGAATTTTTGGCGAAAGTATTTTTCCAACGGGACCAATGCCATGTTTTGATTGGCATTTGATTCAATATGCAAATTTATCAATGCATGTCGTTTTCCAATTTTCGTTAGACATATGGTTTTGTAACATGTACAGATGCACATTCAATGGGTGATAGGAAATTATGCACATAAGAATTGTGTCAGGTCCAAGTGAACATTGAAAAGTCGCAGAATTCTGAGAGATACATATTTGTGATAAATTTGTTGCTTGAAATGTTGGACAAAAGCTCAACATTTCCGTATATAAATTGATTAGTTTCGGCGTCAAAAAGGATAATTTTCAAATTCTGTATTTTTTTTGTTATGGTGGATTATAGATTCTTTTGCTTAACTGGAGGAATTTTAGTCATTATTATCACAATTTTTGAGTATTTACATGATTTCACAGTTTTCACAGTTTTGCAACAGTGCACATTTTTAACACAAAATAAATTCGATTTTTGTTTCCCGTGCTCGAAAAAACAATCACTTCGGCAGTTAGCAAATTTGCGTTTTTAAAATTTCCGTAACTTTCAACTTTCTCTTGAGTTTGGTTAAAATTTCCGGAGCCGATCTTTAATCGCTTTTGAGCGTCCTCTGAACATTTTTCATATTAAATCCAGAAATTTTTTACCCAAATCAAGAAATAAGGAAAGTTACCGAAGTTTAAAAACGTAGGTTTCCTAACTCGCTATTAAAACTATGGATGAATAGGCTCACATTAAACTTCACTCGTTTTGTAACCAAATTTCTTGATCTCTTATTAAACATGATATGCATACATATCCCTTCTCGCAAAATTCAGAATTTTGCCTCTCTGCTTCTGAATTTTTATTCCCTACCAAAAACAAAAACATCTTTCTTACCTTTATCTCGCCAAATCTTAGCCCCAATAATCTTCGGATCAGTGTCACACAACTCTTATCAAATACTGCTTATTACCTTACGCTCATACATAAATAGTTGCTGTTAAAAATTATCTTTGATGCACTTGAGTGAGAAGTTGTCGAATTTATTGTCGTAACACCACCACCACCATTGCCGTTTGGTAATCTGCATCATCTTTTCAGCCCAACTTTCTCACCACCACGACCACCACACCCACGTCCCCCATTCCAACAGCAGCCTGTTCTCTGCACAACGATTTATTTATTTACGAGGTTATCAAGTTTATAATCAAAAAAATGAATCAACTTTCTCTTTCAGCTTTCACTTCACCTCTCACTTTTTACACGTTTCCAATAAGTTTGTGGAGGTAAAGGTTAGGCAGTAAAATGTCAGGTTATCTTACTCTACGATAACTACAGTTAAACAGTGCCCCTCCAGATAATAATTAATGTTAATTGAAAGAGATTTTAAGAAACGAGCTCAGCTCAGCTTCTTCCCCCTCCTTCATCATGTATCCATTCGTATGTGTGTCCAAATAGGACCAACTTTCACCCAAAAAGAAATGCAAAGAAATTTGATGGAACCGAACTCGAATCGAAGCACCACCAGTCATATAGCAAAATTCTATATCGCATAAAATTCCCCTGGTGGAAAAGTACATCTGCCGGGCAGCAGGATCTACTAGGTGGAGAAAGTACCCGACTTTCTCCACCAGATTGAGCACCACTTTAAAAATGTGGACAAATCCAAAAATGCCCATCATGCATGTCAATGATTTACACTTTTTCTTCCTCATCCAAACTTTATGTAGCGATTGATTGCCCGTATAAAAGTTGGATTTCCACGTTAAACTTTTACCAAAAAACGACTCTAAATTTTTCACCTGCAGACAAACAGAGAAAGTCGACACATTTATGCAGACATACATTCCTCACTCACTCCTTTTGTTATTCGTGGTGCCATTTTTTGTCTGGTTAGGGTAGTAAAAAAATTCTGCATCATTTCATTGTTTGTTACATACACGAAGGAACGCTACCGAGAATGAAATGCTTTTTATTCCACTGCATTTATTACATATTTCGTATCATGCAGCAGTCCTTGTTTCTTTCTTTCGCGTTTAACTCGATCGCCCAGTCAGTCAGTCAGTCATCCATCTAGAATCGCATGTCATCAGTTGGGTGGAAGGTTGTTTTTGCTTGGTGCATGCATGTGTGACCAGTCGTTTAAAGCCACCACCACCACCACCGCGTTCCTACCCACCCAACAAAAAGCCGTGTATTACTCTATATTGTGCCCTCGACTCGTCGCAATTAAAGTGTGATGATGTCGTGTTGCTTTCTTTCTCTCAGTGCCAATAAGTTTTTTCCCGTCGTCCACACTTTCATACATACACGGAATGAACGAGGGTGCAACAGCGCCACGAAATTTCCACCAGACGAGACCAACCAACCACCAGACCCACATGCCAAATCTATACGTATTTATATGACTTGCCTGCGAGTATGTACACGACCGAAATAAAAGGCTTCTTTATTCATCAAGCTTTCTACATTAAATTCCTTGTTCGTTGCTGCTGCTGCAACACACGCAATCCACTGGAAAATAATGTTGGTTGGTTTGGTGGCAACGTGTACTTTTAGTTTTGTATGTATGTATGTATGTACGGTCACTCCCTCTTCGTCTCCACCCAAAAAGCCAAACTGTACGCAGCTAGCCAGCCAGCCAGCCATATCATCCATGCACATATGTATGGACTGCCAAAAAAATAGAGGAAGAAAGCAGTCGTGTGGATGGGGAAAGGTTGATATTATCTCAAATACCAAATACCACCACACCACATATTGTACGTTCAGCTCAGCTCAGCTCACTTTGTTGGATTCATAATATTACTTATTGCAAGGTGAAACTCATTGCTACGCTGACATGGCCGGTAATACGGCGTTATTAAAGGTAACAGCGGCACGTAAGGCAGGGTTTCGATTCTGGCGGGGTTTGGTAAATATATTTCTTGCACTGCAAAGAAAGAAATGCGAGGTGCATGAAACTGGGAGAAAGTGCAAGAAATATGCGCCATATGAACTACATATTTATAGCGGCGGGTAGTAGTTTCTTGCACCTTGAATTTCTTGCAGGTTAAAATGTTTACCTGCAAGAAACCACTTTCTCCCCGTTATTTCTTGCAAGCCGTTCCTTTCACCCGAAACACTGTCCCGTATGTACAAACATGGTCATAGTTAGTCCTTTAAACTGCCCATTATTATGTGTAGACTCTCCTCTCTCTCTCTGTTCCCATCCTGGAAGTGGTGGTGGTGGTGGTGGTTGAGAGAACAAAGAGAAAATAGTTTTGTTTAGTGTCGAGTTTTCCATTTCCTTCCTCCCTCCTTTCTTACCGCATGCTGCATACATACCTTCACTCCCTTCACAATCTGTTCATACACACACTCACTCACTCACTCATCATTTATGTGGAGAAAGCGACATAATGACGACGACGAGGACGAGTGTGTGGGCAAGGCTAAAGAGCTTATGGCTAAACAAAAGAGAACAAAAAGTCCAACTTGTTGTTCTTTCTTTTTTCCTCGGCGGCGGCAATAATGGGAACAATTGGGACAAGAAGAAGGGGGGCTCTCGAGTTATGAATATGTTTGTCATGCCGTCGTCGCCATATAAATATTTTGGAAGTTGCCCTTCCAAGAAAATAATAATATGTATGAAAGAGAGAGAGGGCAACCTCTCCCCGTCATTTACGTATCCATTCCACCCTCCAAAACCAACCCTGATTAATGATGATGACCCATGATTATGGAATAATTGGAGTAATTAATTCCCTCTCCGGGCTAAACTCTTATTCGTGGCGTGACCTTCCTGAGTCCGGATAATGGCAAATAATTGGCGGAGGAGATCGAACGACGAGAAATAATAATAAGTAAGCAGCATGGACTTATCTTCTGCTGTAGCTCTGTCCCCTGCCATCATCATCATTGATTGTGTCAAACAGTAAGTATTGATTATTTATTTATTGATTGGCACTACTTATCGGGAACTTTTTCTTGCGTGGCGTGGTAGGTTTTACGAGTGGGCGACAGGAAAGGGTGAGAGAGTTATGCAGCTTGTTTGTACATACACATGTCGACAGGGGAGAGAACGAGGTGACGTACGGAGGTGGGTGAGTGTCCAAGTGGATTATTGTCTCGGGAAAAATAAGGACGACAAGATGGGCAAATAAGATAAAGAATGATGACAAATACTTGGCAGTAGTTTGTTGGTCAACTTTAATTCTTTCCTGCAAAGAACTTGGAAATGTACATATTTAGTTCATTTCGGCATTTTTGGACATCATGAGAAGAGAAAGTCTTCGCTTCGATTAATTTTTAGATGAAATTTTTACCGGCGGATGTAATATGCAATTTTACCGTATGGTAGAATTGCATTTGGTACCTCCGCCGGTAACAATTGTATCCAAAAGTTGCCAGGTTCTCATAATATTCTTGAAATGGAAGGCAGTCAAATTACAAATAATATTCTTGCTTCTTTAGATTTTTGTTTGTTATCTGATTGGCATCTCATGCTAAATATTTTGTAAAATCTAGCTTTTTTCGCACCCCAACTTTCCGACTTTCTCTCCTCCAGAGAGTTATTAACCGTTGGCCTCTACCCTACCATTCGCTGCCCTCGTATTGATCCCATTATTAGGATCGTAGTACATAGCTCGTCTTCCGTGTAGTGCGTGTTAGTCGTCGTGTCCGTGTGTGAAGATAGAATTCTTCTTTTTCCACACACACACATAGAGAAATATACGTTACATTCATCCAATCCAATCCACACACTACACGAAATTCTACTACGTACGTACGTACGTAGGAACATAATCTCACTCTTGTGTGTCTGCTTTCTCTCCTTTCATCGAAGAAAACCAGCTTTGTCCCCCTTTTTATATGTTCACCTGGCTTTTGGCGTCTTGTAAGTCTCTCCCACCATGCATTTGCTCAAGTACAATAAGTACAAGTCGACATGCATGTAGTGTTATTGTGTGTCTTCCTTCGTCGTCGGGTCGGCATTTGTAGATATGCGGGTGATTGAGAGTGTGTATGTATGGAGCTGCCTGCCTCTGTATGTATTTCCCCTTCTTCCTTCCTCCATGACATCAATTATTCATGTAATCCAACAACTAAAACCCACCAGCACCACCACCACCACCTACTTCTTCCTACCCGGTATATTTAGATAGAGTTGGGTACTAGATACACTCTAAAAAATCAGGAGTGCAGTCTTATTTCGCCCGAGTCAGGTTGTTATTTAATTGAGGTGGGTGTAGTTTAATATGACCACTACAACTTTTGTATTTTTCCTCATCTCCCAATTTGATTTCTAATTTTGCATGTTCTACGTGTGCAAAATTTCAAGTCGATTGGATAAGTTTTACGAGCGTAATCGATAGACAGACAGACAGACACCATGACTGGTACATAAGACCTGAGACTCAGGCTAATAAAAATCCGGTGACAAACGTGACTACACGTAATCGGGGTTGTTATCATTTCGGTGGTAGTATGGTTCCGAGCTATTGGTAGCTGTTTCCTACGTGGTGATTCCGCTGTAACCGAGCGGCGACATATCATCATCCGGTAATACTCACCCATCGATGATAATCCAGTGCTAAAATTTCTTAGAGTGTACCCACACCACATACCAAAACCAAACCATCTTCTACTTACTCTCCGCTTTATATATTTTTTTTCTATTCCTCGTCTCGTTCTTCTATCTTCTCGACTGGCCGGCGCATTTTTAATTAGTCTCGTATCAAACAAAAATAGAAGAAGGAAGAAGGACGAATTTCTCAGAAGGAGAGATTTCTCGTTCATCGCTGCTGCTCCTTCAAAAGAATAAATTATACGGGAGCAGAGAGAGAGAAAGCAAAGCCAGTCGAATATCCAACTATGCACTGCTGGTTGGTCTGGTCTGGTCGGGTTTGGTGGTTGAATGAAGGTGAAAAAGGTTTATGGATTATAATGTAGCAGTTGAAGATCTCTCATTTTTTAAGAAAGCCAAAAAAGATGAAAAGGGTTGTGATGAAGAATTAAATGGCGTGCCAGACAGAAGCAGAAGAAGAAGAAGACCCATTTGAAAATAAATGAGATTGGGATATTCTTTTATCCGTCTTGCCCTATTTTTCGGTCGGATCACATCCATTTCATGGTCTGGTCTACACATTCCAAAAGCTGGCCTTTCCTGTTTTCAGTCAGTCATGGTGTTCCATTTGTTTGTCTATTTTTGGGAGGGAGAAAGTACACGAAGGTGCGGGTATTGGGTATGATTGGTTTGTGCATGTAGTACTTTTTGCTTGATGAAATCCCGTCTCCGATGGGATCAGGCTGGGGGATTGTTTGACTGAGTGCGTATAAAATCTCACCTGCGGACATTTCCTCCTCCTCCTCCACAATGAAGAGCTGTGCACACACACGTACGACTTCTTATCGTGGTGATGATGATGATGCATCTCATCCACATC